GGAGCAAAATTCTTTAATTTTTTGGCTTTTACCCACCTGATGGTGGTTTATATGCATCCTGTACCACAGCTAGGGATCCTGGATCAATACAAGTAGGAATGAAAAATAACACTGTGTTCTAAGCTGCTGTGACTAATTCCTTGTATTAGAAATATCAAAAAACAATTCAATCCATATTGCAGGATTTTATCTGAGGCCAAGTACTAATTCAAAATTTTACCTGCTTTTCCATGGAATAATAGCAAAATGTATCCCCAAATCTGGTTTTGATTCATTAAACCCTGTTGACAAAATGATTTGTTTTGAGAATTAAATGAAAGCCTTTTCAGAAGAACTCTCCTCAAATGGAAACAAGGAAATCAGCCCTCAAATGTGTCACCCTTGGAAAAACCAACAGGACATTGGGAGACCTGGTTCTCCTGCTGCAGTGCCTGTGCAGAACACGGAGCACAGAGTAAACTGACAAAATAATTGGATTATACATGCACAATTCAGACTTTCAGTTACTGGGTGCTTTCTTGCTCCTGGTTTCCACAGAAAAGTCAGGTTTTTGTTCCTTAAGTCCTTGTGCTGCTTATTTACATATGAAAAGGTAAGTTTATAAAAGAGCTTTCCTATTTTACTACACCTAATAGTTAATAATTTAAATCTGTAGCCATTATCATCATATAGATTGACACAAATGGCATATGGATCATTCTGGGGATGAGGGTTAGTTTCTTTTAAGAGAGAATTGTTTTAGTTTTTGCAGGAAATTAATCAGGGGAATGGGCTTTGTGGAGCATGGAGCAAATCTAATCTGTTCTTTGTTCAAATTTGCCTTGCTCCAATTCCTAGCAATTGTAGACAACATGCTCTTTTGTTCAGGAGCCACTTGTTACATGCATAATTAGAGACTGCAGTAGCTGTGTTTAAAGAAAAACTGTTTTCCAATGTAATGTGTGATCTTGATAATAGTATTTTCATCAAAGGTAGCAATTACATTCATTAAGCTGGGACTGGCAAGGCAGCAAGGAAATTAAGTGGAAGGTGAATAAAAAGCTCCCCGTTTCTTTTTAAAATCTCTGCCTCTTTATAAGTTGAAATGCACCACGTTGAGCTGGAAACTGGAAAATACATACTGAATATAAGGGGGGAAAAGAAAGAAAGAATGAAAGGAAAAAATAAAGTCCTCCTTAACCTTTCTAAATAATGATCCAGAAGATATCCTAGGGACACCTACTATAGATGCACTTTTCAAATTAAAGGGCTTTATTCTACATTAATTTCTTATGCAAGTTTTAAACGAGCTCAACATATGATTCAGGTCTTTAAAGGCTCCAGGGCTCTCTAGGATTAATTCACTGTTCTTTTCACACATGAATTAATTGTTTTGTGTTCTCAAAAACAGCAAACAGCACATAAATCAACCAGTTTGCAAAAAGGCACAAGGCTGGTGCCTTTTGCAAATCACTGAAGTTTACTCTTTACACTCCATTATTATAATATGCAACTTTTAAAGGAAAAGCTGGAAAAGTAGGACATATGTTCTTAATTCTAAGTGGATTTCTTGAATGCATAACTCATTTCAGCAGTCTGATTCCTTGAAAGACCAAAGTTGTGGGGCACTGAAAAGCAGTTCTTCCTGCACGCTAATTGTATTTTTCCCAATTAATAAATCAATTACATGTCACTAATATATTTGCAAACCTTCCCACATAAAAAGAGCTAGTTGTGATGGGTTTATTTTACACTCTTTTTGCCTTAAGCTTTGGAAGAGTGAAATTTTCAGATGGAAAAAGGTGAAAATCTAAAGATGCGAGCGCGGAGCCCTGCGAGGGCCGTGCCCAGCCTGTGGGCTCCCCCAGACACTCCTGCTGAGCACACACACAGCAAGCTCATTTTTAACCTCCAAAATCCAATCCTGAGTTTATTCCAGGCACTGTGGGGCTATCCAGTTTTTATCCCAGGTTATTTATCCCAGGCTAAGTGGGAGAAGTGTCTGTCCCCTCATAGCATTGCCCTGTGTTGACAGTAAGGGCAGGGCACTGAGGCACGATTTTGCAGGAAAATCCCCCAATTCAGGGTCTCAGCCAGCAAACCAAAGCAGGTGACACCTGCAGCAAGGTCAAGTTTAATTTGCCAGCACTCAGGACAGGTAGTGAGGAGGGTGGGGGCAGGAGCTGTGCTCCCTCCTCAGCAGGGATGTCCCAGCCCACTCCCAGCTCAAGGTAAGGGAGAAAACCACAGCCAGAACCCAGCTGCCCATGACTCCAAAAATAACTGTTTCTCCTTCTGCCCTTCCCAGAAATAGAATCTGAAACCACAGCATCTTGGCCAAATTGGAATTTGCATAGTTCTGCGAAGCATTTCCTTCAGTTAGGAATGATTTAATTATTCTTCACTTCCTCTTCTAGAAATCATTCCTGGATAATGAGGTTAGCATAGAGCAGATATGTTTCAGTCAAGGGATAGATGTAATTTAGTGCCAGAAGGCTTTTACAGTTGAAAAAAAAAAGAAGAAAAAAAAAAGATTTTTGGACACTTCTAAATAGAAGCAGCAGGATAAAGAAGGTTTGCTATTAAATTAGAACAGTCTGAGACACCAGACCATCGGGTGCTTTAACCCAGTGCTGTGTCAGCCCCTGAAGAATCAGAGCACAAGCAGCACACCCCTGCAGCCCAGATTCTTACACAAGGGTAACAAGGCACATTTTAAATAATTATTAAATAATGGCAAGCTGCATTACTGCCAGAGAATTGTTTATCTCTCCAAATTGGATTGCTGAAGTCAAGGCACAGTAGAGCTAAAATTCTTCCAGCATTAAATGGAAGATTCGTTGCTGCACCTTCCTTTGGTCCTTGGAAACTGAATCCTGCGTGGCACTAAAATGTGTTTCATGACAAATATCCTGCTGAATCCAGCTTTTATTATTCAAGCAACAGTCAAAATATGACCTGCCTTATCAATCAAATGTTGGCACTGCTGCAATTAAACCCAGAAAATTATTTTCCTTCTGAAGCCTGGTTGGACAGACATTGAGAGAACCAACTCTATCTTCAGCAGCTCCATTGACCAAACAAGTTCTCTGAAGCTTTTCACTATTTAACTATGCTTCCAGAACCTTAACTTTTACTTGTTAATTATTCCTGGATTATTTTTATGTCAGTTTAGCATATTTCTTCTACAGAAAACCAAGAAGTATCCAGAGAAGCTAATGTCAAATATGTAATTATCATGTCTTTGGTTATGAGCTAAACAAAAGCAGAAAACCTCAGCAAAACAGTATTAAATTAAACTTGCTCTGCTTATACTGAAAAAAAATGCATTTAATTTGCATATTTACAATGCAAATTAGGGAACAGAAGAATTTTACAGGGTGTCCTTGAAAACAATTCGGCCAAAAACATCCAAGACAATTGAAGCAAACTCAATGTGATGAGAAGGCGGATCAGAAAATGATCCTGTCATTTCTTGAGACTTGGCTGAATATTCCTGACTGAAGGCATCAAACAGCCCCTCTTTATCCTCACTAAAAAAGTCACTAAAAACTTGTTTTTAGTTTGTCTAAGTCCTTCAATGTTAGCAGCTCTACAGTTACTGAGAGAGAATAGTTTCAGAAAGATGTAAATCCAAATGATCTCGAAAGACAAAATATATAAAAATGCTATTACTGTCTAGTGAGACTGCACATATTTTTGATTTATATTTCTAAATATTTCACCAGAAAAAAAATGTTACAGCATACAATGCATGTTCCTTTGAACATTAAACAAGCTATTAGGAAACACACTGGTTATTTCTAGTTACCGTGAATACATTCTGGGGGCTGAGGAAAAGCATTTCTTCAGCTTTTTGTGTATCCAGCACCAGCTCAGGGAAGTCAGACAGCTGCTTTCAAAGCAGACTGGGCTTCCAAGTGAGCTTAGCTTGGTAGAAGAACTTGAAATGTGTCTCTCACCAGAAGATTTTCAAGTGGAAATGCAATAACATGTTAATTAGAAAAGTCTTTACACAGCAAAAGGCTCCTAAAGAACAATAACTCTGTAGTTCATGTAAGCCTTTTCTAACACAATCTTTACATGGGGAAAAGAAAATATGAAAGAAAGAACAACAGCATAGAAAAGATGATATAAAACGTTGTATTTGAGTATTTCCCAAGTAGTGATGAAACCCTTCAGTGGAAATCTGCTTTGATCACCAACCAGAACAGAACTAGAGACACCTGACATTGACAGTGTCATTCTCCCCTGGTAGAAAACCTGCAAGATCTGGTATCAATTTTAAATGACAGATTATTAGAGAACCATGAACTGATACACAAGATTAGCATATGATCAAGTCAAAAATTAAATTCAGGCACTTTTTAATACATTCTCAATATATGTCTTTTCTTCAGGAAAGCTCATATGCAACATTTGATACTGAAGTTGTTGTTCCAGAACAGACTGGATGGACTAAGAGCATAAAAAGGTAAAAAACACTTAAAAATACATATTGAGTACATAAAGCAGCTTAAAAGCTCAGAAAGCCTCATACTGAGGCTTTGAGCATTGCCCACACCAGCTCTGCAGCCTGTGCCCACAGTGCCCAACGCAGAATTGCCATTTATGACCTCCCACAAATGCCTGTCCCAAACCAGAACAAGGGCTGGGGAGCACAGGCAACTCTGAACAGCTCCTGGACAACAGCACAGCACTTCTCATTCCTAACCAAACATCTGAGCTCAGAGCAGCAATGGAATCAGGCTTGAGGGGAGGAAATAATGCAAGGCTGGATGGGGCTTGGAGCAGCCAGGGACAGGGGAAGGTGTCCCTATCCATGGCGGGGGTGGCACTGGATGGGCTTTAAGGTCCCTTCCATCCCAAACCATCCTGTGACTCTCTAAGTTAACTCTCCACAGAATCAGTATCCAGAGTAGGCAATGATCCCCACACAGGTACCTGTCCTCTTAAAACAACAAGGAAAGTTACTCAGGGGTTGTAATTGATTTGCGCACATATTCCTCCACAGAATTTTGTATACAAATACAATACATGATTTATTTCTTTCAAAACTCTGTACAAAATACAGCATAAATAACAAAGATGTTAAATATTTACAGCTGTAACATTAGTTAAAGGCTTGACCTTTCTTTATTGAGAAAAAAGGCTCATCAGCTCCTGTTGAATAGCTGATGAGGATGTTCAGGTTGTTTCCTGGACTCAGGCATCCCATATCAGACTGTGAGGAATCACATTCATCTCATTTTCTCCTGGTTATTTTTTCAAATTGATACCTGACACGATTCTACACAAAGAGAGAGTCTTTTTACATAATCCTGGATATCCAGCCCTTAACAGTCCTTCAAAGAGCTCTGCACTTTCCTCCACAAAGGGTTTGCTTCTGGCACTGTATTGAATCAGTTAAGTATTGCCAGTCCTCAGCCTCACACAAAACTGCAGATGCCAAGCTGAGAGTGTCTCAAACCAGGAGATCATAAAACCAAAACTAAACCCTGTTTTCTGTGGACACTCACGTGAGCAAAGCAGATTAAAACTCAGCAGCCAAGGACACGGTGATCAGTATTAACTCAAGCATTTTGCAGTGTGGTTATGATTATTTTAGATTCACAAATAGACTGTGTTGAGCGGAATAACTGTAGTTAAATGTTGTGGTCTGTAGTTTTAATTCTAATCTAAATTTCCCCAGCTGCTTTAATTCAGCTGAAAGAAAGCCTGCAAGCAAATCTGAAATGTATTAATAATGATAATAATTAATAATAATATTGCTAGAAGAAAACTTCAGAAACCATCTAGTCTACCTTCCTACTCTTGTATTTTTGAAAATCTCAAAGCTCTTGCTCAAACTGATATGGGAGGGGCTTTTTTACTGGCATAAGGATAATCACCACAATAATTCTTTGCCCATTAACAGGCAAAGCGTGTATACAGAGGGATTAATTCACTAAAGCAGTTACTTCCCTTTGAAGTCAGAACTTTTTAATAGTGCTTTTCATCCTTGCTTGTTTCTTTGTCTAAGGCACTGCTTGTTTTACAAATCCCACTTGTTAAGTGTCACTTGCCCTGGTTTTGCTAGGAAATCCTCTGGGAGTCTCAGCCTATAACATTCTAAGCTCCACTCAGAGTGAATCATCAGTGAAAGGCAAGCTTTAAAAATGAGATTCTTCCAAGTCAGCCAAAACCAGAAAACCAATCCTTCCCTCCCCAAAACACTTGAAACAGATTGCCAATTACAGCAATTAGGATGATTTTTCATATATTAAGCTTCCTGTCTCTTGATTATTAGTTAATTAGCTCTCCAGCACTGAAGAGGTTTCTGCTGTAAATAAAATGTCTAATTTTAGAGTAAACAGAGACAAATAAAAAAAACCAAATACTTCCCAACCCCCTGCCCCTTTTTTCTCTCTTAAAAAAGGAAAAAAACTGTGCTAGAGAACCACTAAGTTCCAGAAGCAAGGAATTCTAGGCTTTAACAGTTGTAACAGTTTAACAGTACCTCCCTTTAAAGTTTGTGAAATGCATTGAATGTGGAAAGGCCACTGTGAGGTAGTATCACACACTCCCATTATCCAGCTTCTATCTGTCCTTTTGCAGAACTACTAGAGCTTTTTTAACCCCATTTCAGAAAGATTTCAACTCAACCTTTTATGAAAGGAGAACTATAAATAGGCTCTTAGATTAAAACCCTTAACAGCTGAGAAGGGAGGTGGATATTATCCGCCTTTCAGGAGTACAAATTGGGGCTGCAAGGGCTTAATTACAAAGATATCCTTAAGAACACACTGAAGGCTGCTATAAAAATGACTCCAATTACAGCAGCTCCACAGACATCACTCCACCTGGGAGAGAGGAAACCACCACTTCCCTCTCTTTGCACCCCATGCTAATGCAGGCAGCACATCCCAACTGCAGCTCCACGCCACACATCAGCTCTGCTGCACGTGGAGAGTTCCCTTCTCCCAGGTGGATTATCAGGAATGCCAGGGATTTGGATTCCTTTGTTTTTAACTTCGAAGTCTCCAAGTGGAGATGAACTGCTGGCATGACCTAAGGGAGCTAAATCCACTGCTGGGAAGTCTCTCAGGCAGAAAGAAGTTTGGATTTGAATGTGGAATTCATGGTTTCACATGAATTACTCACTCTCCTGAAATGGGGAATTCGTGGTTTTCCCTATGAATTCACTGTGATGATGTATTCTTATTTATGATGTCATCAATGCCTTCTGCAATTATAAATAAATTCACAATCAGTGTTCAGGGAAATAATTTTCATATACCGTCAAGAAAGTCCTTATGGTTTCAGTACTCCTGTGCTAAGAATTTTGCAATTGTGCTCAACTGGATATTTGAAGTTCCTTCATATATCGTACCTGAAATCAGAAGAAAATAAAAAAAAAAACAAAAGAACACAGTGAATTTATGAAGAGAGACCAAAATATCATCCTAAAGTCCAGTTAGAACCCTTACAATTATGAAATGAAGCTTTACTGTGTGAGTGCTAGCACACCACTGTAATTATTTATATAGTATTATAAGCGTTCATATTTTATTGCCTGTAACAATTAAAGCACTTTTCTGGCTGGCACCACATAATGCAAAGACATTTTCCTGAAAAGCAATTCCTAAATAGCCAACAAAAATGAGGAAGTTCAAAATGCTATTATAAATGAAAACCAAAGGAGAATATTGTTAAAAATATCAAACTGTTGTGTTCAAGGATTAGCCTGATAAACAAGAAATCCTTGAAAAGAAAACTCCATATGGATTCAGATCTTAAAGACAATTGAGGTATTTTCAATTATTTTATTTCTTTTTACAGAAATTTTCTTAACAGAATGGGACACAGCATTTGTGTCTGCATTTTGTTGGTATCTAATGAAATATTTTAACTAGCCTTGCATGTACATACATTTATACCTAAAGTTTTATATCTGAGCCTTTGAATTAGTGTTGATACAAGTCTCAGGCAAAAAACATCCTGAGAAAAAAAGCCAGCCCTTCTCCCTCAAACTTTAACAGCACTAAAGCTCTAAGAGATACTTGGTAAGAAAGTGTCACTCACCTATCTTGCAGTCACGGTAGTACTTCTCTATTGGGTAATTTTTGGTGAATCCAACACCTCCCATCCATTCAATGCATTTACTGGTTGTCAGTGTTGCAACCTACGGAGAGAGTTTCAGAGTTACAGCATTCAACTTCATGGCAATGGTGGTGAAACTTAAACTTTGTACCTAATTATTAGCAAAACAGGGAATAAAGCAGTGACTAGAACAAGAAGAAAGAAGGATGCGTGTTTTGGTATTCACCTTCAGCAAGCCATTTTAGAATAAAAACAACAAATCAGAGGACATCAGGAGTTTACTAATTGTTACAGCAACAGTTTCTATGCTGCCCTGTACAAAAGTCCAGCAGTGGTATCCAACACAGCAATTGCAAAGAGGGAGAAGTCATCTAGTTTTGAGTCATTTTAAGACTCACAGATGTGACCAGCAGAGCTGAAATGGTCACAAATGAACTCTTTACAGTGCCATTTCTCATGCCACAATAAGATTTCTGAGAAAATTAAATCTTTCTAGATAAGTGAAAATATTAATTCACTTTCCTCTTTTAGTGTTGCTGGTTGGTTTTAAAAATTTTATTTAGGGGCATGAGCAGCTTATTCATTGGTGACTTACTTTAGATTCTGTGCGTTGGACTGAGAAACACAGAATGTTTGGGCTGGAGGGGATCTTAAAACTCATCTCATTCCAACCCTGCTGCAATGGGCAGGGACACCCTCCCCTAGCCCAGGTTGCTCCAAGCCCCATCTGACTTGGCCTTGAACACCTCTAAGGATGTGGCATACGAGATAAAAGTACATGCAGAGATTTCACAGCAAAGATGAATTAGGAGTTACAGAGTGGGTAACAGAAGCAGCTTCAGCAGCTTCAGCAGTGGAATGAAGAAGTGAGGGAGCTGCAGGTACCTCAGCAGTGAAGTATTTGGCCATGCTGGCCTCCTTGATGGCCGGCCTGCCTGTCTCTGCCAGCCGTGCCGCGTTGTAGGTCAGCAGCCTGGCCGCCTCCAGCTGCGTGGCCACCTGGGCAATCTGGTGCTGCATCCCCTGCAACAGCACCACAGCACTCAGACAGAGCCACAGCCCCACTGGAGCAACCAGCAACAGCCACTCTGCTCACCACGGAACGGACCTGCACTCTAAAATAAAAATGTGAAATCCAGGTGGGAAGTAATTCCCTGTTCCTTCTGTGTTTATCGCCAGAGGCTGGGAAAACTCCTGGGACACTCAAGTGCTTCCAGGAACTGCAGTCCCATTTTCCCCTTTTCTGTCCTTGGATTCAGGAGCCCTGGGGTTCCTTTTGCCTGACTGGCTGGAGAGAGGGTTACCTATTCAAACCCAGGAATATAAAGGAAAATTTTATCCCCATCTTAGCATCCTCCTCAGGATTACAAAGGCATGAGGAAGTCAGAGCTGCGTTTGCATTTGCAGCTGTTCACTGAGACAAAATCAGGTTTGACTCCCTAATGAGCTTAACCAAGGAAGACTTGTAAACAAATATTTCTTGAATAAAGTGGAGAACTAGCAAGGTGACAACTCCTTTCTTTGTCCCAGAGGCACAAGACAAGATTAAGAAGCAGCTTAAAGGTACAGAGGACACAACTGAGGAATGGATTCAAGGGGAAGGAAAGAGGTGATGGAGCTCATATCTGAATGGTATTACAGAAGAATGGGTTTATTTAAGAACACCCAAATATTATGATCATTGAAAATGAACATTTAGTAGTCTAAAACACAATGAAATCTTTCATCTTATTAGAACATTAACACCATTCCCTCAGATCTGCAGAAATATATAGGCAGGTCAAAATACCAAAATGATTTGGCAATTATAAATTCCATTTCCCATTCAAAAGACGTAGTTCCAATCATTTCCTAGGTATCTATGAGTGCTTCCTAAAATTTGCATAAATTATGAGTAGTGCTAATGTTCCTTCTCTTCAGCTGAGATGTAGGTTTCTTTTAACAAGAAAATTACTATAGTAATTACAATTATGTAGCTCCCTTATTAAACTATACATCATTTTTGCAACAAAGAGTCCTTTTTGCTGTAAGAAACAGATATTATAATGAAAACTAAATGTCTTTGTACAACACAGGAAATCTAATAATTCAATCAGTTTTCCTCATCTTTTTATCATTTCTAGTGTCTCCAGAAAAAGCCCTTCCCCTACACCTCATGAAAGGGTATAAAAACCTGAGCACATTCAGTATAATGTGATATTAAAACCAGAAGGGAGTTCCATGTGGATTATTTTCAAAGATGAGTTATCAAGCAAAAGGACTACGTTAATATTTTTCATTTTTCAGTTATTTCTGTGGCACTTGCATAGGCACACAGCACTGAATTGATGGATCTTAAGTGGCAGATGAACGTTCATCCAGAATTTTTTTTTTTAAATTCTTCTCAAATATTGAGGAAGAAAGACAAGACATGAAGTGGAACGTGAATTATGCAAATCATAATACTAATTTTACTCTTTTTTTGTGGTCACTATTCTTTCCTGGAGGAAACATCCCATGTGCCCATTAACAAGTACCTGGAAATCAAACACGCTTTTCCCAAACTGGACTCTCTCCTTTGTGTAGGGAACTGTACGGTCAAAACACCCCTGGGCCAGTCCCAACATCTGCGAGGAAAAATAAGGATATGGTCAGAAAAAATGGATTCTTTGAATGCACCTAATGGAGATGATAATAATTGGTCATTTTCTGGTCAGGCAGATTGATATCCAAGAGAAAAGTTGTTTTCTTCCTACCTAGATATTGCTAAAACTTCTATAGAGAATTCTAGGAGCCAGAATTTTACAGCTATCTGACAAACTGAGGTGAGTTATAATAAAGAAAAGTTTGAGGAAAAAAAATCTATTACATGCCCATTTTTTACCATAGGCAAGTATTTGTGAATACACTACCACTCATTTTTTGAGCAAAACTTATGGGTCAACTGCAATTGCAAAAATATTAAGTAGTTTTCTTTTGGAAAATTCGTAATTGCATAAGAAAATGACCGTAAACTGAAGATCTATAGATCTACATTACCCTATTAAAGGAAAAATAATCTGAATTATTAATCAAAACTATTTTCATAATCAAAATAATGTCTCATTTTCTAGAGGACACCAGACTGCCAGAATTAGCAATTTATTTCAGAAGTTAGAAACTTAGTGGAGTGGAAGCAGAGATAACAGTTCTTGCACTATCTTTCTTCCAACTCTGCAGAACAATTGTACAAGAATTTAGATCAATTTTGTCTTTCCACAAAGGCACAAGCAGTAGAATGTCACATCAGGCAGCTGAGAAAAACTGCCTTTAATGATGTAGAACAGCAAAAAACTGATACATAGGAAAACAATAAAAGAAAATATTGCAGTCTGCTGCTAATCAGCCCCATTACCAGATTTGTCATCTCCTTATAGAAATTATAAGGACCAAGCACATCAACTTCAGCACCTGTAATAATATTGCAGCTGCCTTGCACTAAAACCATCTGAAACTGTTTTCAAAGCCACAATTACATTTTATAAGATCTTCATTATCTTTTAAAACGATTACTGCTGCAAAACTAAACTCAATACCACAGGGCTTTAGAGCTGCTGTTCTTGTCAAGTCCATTTCTCTTAATTTGAAGGTGCCAAGAAAGCAGTAACTAAGATATAACAACTACCTGACCTTAACTTTTAATTAAGGTGTAACTTGGAGTAATTAAGAGTAAAATCCAGACCATGTATTTTACTGCCAGAGCCTTTATATTATTTATATCTCTGGGAACAATGGGGCCCACAGCCCTTTTTAAATGCCATATCAGACCAAGTTTAATCAGAGGTAATCTTTAGAAATGACTGAAAAGCCAGCCCAATTATCAGCACAGTGTACTGCCATGTGGAAAATCTCAGCTTCATGAAGATCATTTCTTCTGCTCTGTATGCAAACCAAGGCAAAAGATAAAGAAGACTGGTAGTACAGAAATATGGCACAATAAACAAAGAAAAGATGACTTTCAAAAGTAAATTAAAAATATAAAAACTTTTCACAAGTTATTTTATTCTGCAGCTGAACCTGATTTCCACTGAGATCAGCAGCATTCTGACATCCAAACTGACTACAGCAAAATATAATATTTTGAAATAATTTCAAGGTCAGTAAATATTTTCCCTTAAGATGCCATACAGTGCAATTTTCAAACACAACAATGAACTGGATCTGCTAGAGAAAACATTAATTTTAAAAATAAGTTGATTTTTAAAAATAAGTTGTTGGGAAAACATCAGTTAACACTAGGTTACATTTGCACGCCCCATACAATCCCAGCTGGAAGCATTAATATTATACATTTCAGTGTGTTCACTGAATTTCCAAAGTTAGTTTTCTTTGTAAAATAAATTTTCATAGTGGAAAACAAGAATGTGGACATGATTCAGTATCAAAAAGTTAACGACCAAAGATGAGCTAACTGCCATTTAATGTTTTTTTAAGTCTGTTACTTATGTCACTCCAGGAGAATTTTCCCACTGGCAGATGTTCCCATCTTCACCGTGACTTTGCTAAAGGAACAGTGACATCTAGTGGCAATTGAGCTTTTAATAAAGTATTTTCTAAACTGCTTTAAATATTCCACAAATTTCAGTCCAAACTCAAATTATATCCTGGCTGTGCTCAGTAATAAAGCAAATCACCCACCTGGGCAGCAATCCCTATCCTGCCAGTATTGAGCATTCCAATGGCGTATTTATAGCCTTGTCCAACTTGTCCCAGGATATTGCTCTCAGGAACCTAAAAAATAAAACCACCCAATTATTCCTGCTCTATTCTGCTTTGCAAGTACTGAAAGGGTTCACAAGTTTTATCAATTGCTCCTCAAAAGTGAAGGCATTAGACATAAACCACAATTTGATTCCTAGGATAACTGAATAGAGCATTCCCAGATTCACATGGCTATAAACTGACAATTGAGAAAAACATCAAAATTTAAGAAATCCAACCCCTCTCTAGACTTGTGTGGGAGGAAAACGTTAAAATATGCCCAACAATCAGTGTGTCTAAGGGAAAAAAATAGGGAATTTAGTTAATATTCCTTCCTTATGTGTAATCAGGTTGCAGTTGTGCACAAATTATGCTTCAATAGCTGAACTTACAATACCTTCACGTTGTCAAAGGTGACTGGGCAGGTGGAAGATGCTCGGATTCCCAGCTTGTCCTCCTTTTTCCCCACGTGAAGCCCCTCTGTGTTGCGATCCACTATGAAGCATGTAATTCCTCTGTATCCCTGGGGGGAATTAAAAACAAACAAAAACTGGTTTTCATACTAATATCCCTCAAAATCTACAGATTAGGGACAAACCTGATACTTGCCTATTCAGCTGTGCCATTTTTTCCTGGACATACTTTACTATAGAATACTTTCTAGTTTTCCATTTTGCCTTTTAACAGCAGGAACTTGCCAGCTAACTCAGAAAGGCTGGAAAAATCTAGTCCTGTTACTCAGAACACCACCAGTGCTCTGCTCTCCATCTAAGCAACCATGACCCTGACATTTTTATTTGCCCTGGTTGGAGGAATTTATTAAATTGCTCACCAAGTTCTCAAGTTTTGTTGGGAAATATTTTTAAAGGTTTGCAGTCAGCTAGGAGAAGGTGCACAGAGTATTAACCTCTACCATCAGATTATTAATATAAAATCCAGTTTCATGTATCAGCAACTGTCACTGAAATGCAAGAATTCTGTAGCAACTTACTAAGGATGGGTCTGTATTTGCCATGACAAAGAAAACTCCTGCATCTTCTGCTAAGCTAATCCACATCTTTGAGCCATTGATAATGTAGTAGTCTCCTTTCTTTTCAGCTCGAGTCTTCAAGGAAAAAGCATCACTGCCAGACCCAGCCTCCGAAAGACAGAAACTCCCTAGCTGTCAAGGGAAGGGAAAAAGCCAATATAATTTTCACAAATATAAATAAATCCTACAAGGAAAATACTTATAATCCAGCACAAGTCTCTTAAATTCAAACATTTTAACCTATTGCATTAAAGTAACTGAGCTTCAGCTGTGGAGATTAAGAATAGAAACACTGTGTAATTACACATCTCTCAAAGTCAACTGCTTTACAGTTCTTTTCCACAGTAAATTAAATTTTAATGAAACTAATAAGTGCCCTTCCACTTTTACCTCTCAGCTACTGATGACAGGATGTATCTATATCACCACAGATCTCAGCTCTAACCAGAAAGTTCAACACATATTTTCCAGAGCTGCAGACACACATTAGTCACTGAAAAAAAAATCCCTCTAACATTACTGAAAAAAAATATAGTTTTAATAGTTAAGTAAGACTTTGACTCACTGTGTCTTTAGATACCCTGGGCAGGTAAGTCCTCTTTTGTTCTTCTGTTCCATAGGTGGTAAACAACTTATTTGTTAGAGTGTTTTGGAGTTCACACACAAGAGCCACAGCTGGATCAACTTTGGCCAATTCTTCCACTGCCAATATGATTGAAAAAAATGAAGCTCCAGTTCCTCCATATTCTTCCCCAAGCTCAATACTCATCAGCTGAAATGGAAAAGGTGCAAATATATAAATTTGCTGGTCCTGATAGCTGGAAAGGCTAAAACTGAATCAAGGAATGAACACCAGCATGTTGGCAATGTAAGTCCTCAAGGCACAGAGGACTCCTGATTCTCTCCTCCATCAGCACCTGAAGTCATGACCTTTCCAGCATCCAATTATGCTTATCCAACTAAAAAAAAAAAGTGAGGGAGGGAAGACAAGGAACTAAAAGATAAGGTGAAGTATGTGGTATGGGGGAGATGGAAAAAAAATTACAGTAAAAGATGAAGAGTGATAATGTTGTAAAGAAAGTTGTCATGTGATCGACAACTCCAAAATTTTTAATGATTCATTAGGTCATTTGAATTATATCCCTCAATCTTTTCATCTAAAAATATGAACAAGGCACAGATAGAGATTCATAAAATGATATTACTTTCCAAATAAAAGATTAGGTAAAAGAGTGCAGACCCCTTGCTCAAACAATCCCTGTACAACGGAGTCTTCCATTTTTGCATTCTCGTCCATTTTTTGCACAAAAGGCGCAACTCGTTCCTGGGCAAATTTGGTCACTGTAATGAAGAGAAGAAAGAAAATGTGTAAATATTCCAACAGTCTCCTTGGGGATCAGTATAACAGGAATGTGGTGTTTATGACAGGTTGTGCACGTGTTCTGGCTCTCCCAGAAAAGTAAGCAGCCCAAGTAATGCGAGGTGTAAAGCACAACTCCCCAAAAAAATCTCAATATTTGACTAGAAATAATTAAAACAAAATTTTAAGCGAAAATATCCCTTCTACTTAAAACATTTCTGAATTTTAACAACAGAGATAATAGCTACCCATGTCTTTGAGCATGGCCTCCTCTTCGGTGAATGTTTGAAGTGGAGCACAGACAAGACCATCACTGGCTATGTTTGGCTTAAGTTCTGATTTGGAAGATCTAAAAACACAGGGAGAAACCCTCCAAGGAGCCAAGTGTGTTGGCATGTGTCTTCTCAGCTGTTAGCAACAAACACAGAACATGCAAACAGTTAGATCTGCATGCAGACAGCAACATACAACTTCATATCATATACAGTGCTTTTATTTAGTAAACGATGAGGAGATAAAACTTGCATCTAATGTTCAGCTTGAAAGCTTTGGAGAAAATATAACCTCCCCCTCCCCTGTGTCCTAAAAGAAACGTCTTTTAATTACTTCCAGTTTTCTTTCTGGAAGTTTACTAACACAAGGTAATCCTATAAAGTATAAACAACCTTTTTTTTTAGTCAATTCTAATGTTTGCAGCAAATAAACTCTGCTGACAGTATTTATTTTTATAATGATTTTTTGTTGATAGTGTAACTAATAATTAATGTGTCTTATTTGGTTGATTTATTTTAAAAGCATGGGAAGGAACAAAGTGATTTATGCTTATGCTCCCCATTTATCCACAATATACAACAATGATTTCAAGAAGCAATGGCTATCCAATCAAAAGAGCAGAGGCTGAGCATTTTACTATGGGGAACAGTATTAAGAATATGTGGCAAAAGTCACAAAAATAAACAGAACAGTGGCTTTTGGGAAGAAGCTATACACAATGATTATCAGGACATACATAATGTGACAGCTTTGTCTCCCAGGGACCTAAAATCTTTTGTGTTCAAAGACTTAATTATCTCCTAGCAGGGTTTAGAAAGGTAAGTTTGGTATGAAGGCAAATATGCTTTCCAAACACAGAATAATTTCTTAGTTTTTTAAAGGAAGCTGGCATAAAGGATCTGGCTCAAAAAGTAATGGGCCAGCAGTAGCTAAAATGTATTCCTGAAAAGCAGCAGTTTGACTCAAAATCAGCAGGACAGAACAATGGTTCTGCTCTCACAGCTCCCCAAATCCAGCCCACTCTGGGGCTGATGTCCACAGATCTGATCTTCGCTACAGATTTCTGTCACTTTTGCTATGCCAGTCTCAAGTGTGGAGACACAAATATCTCACCATGACAACTGCTGACAGAAACCCCCAGGAGAGATACAGCTGTGCCATAAAGTATATGAAAACACATGTCTGCCGACACACATTTTTGGCAGCATTCACTCTTAACCCCAGAGTGAGGAACAGACTGGCTGTTCCCTAAGCAGGCGCCTGTTTAGCTCCCAGAACACAGGGCAATTCCACAACACACATTGTGATGGCAGCATTCCTCAAAAAACAGCAGAAACTCTGGGGTCAGGAAGTAAAAATTCCTTTGATCCTTCTAATAATTCCCCCTCTTTCATGTTGGCTTTCAACACTTGTCATCTCCCTGGCTGAAGAACTGATGTAAAACACATCGATGAACTCTTGGAGACAACAAGCAAAAGTCTACTGTGATAAGGAAACTCTGATTTTGGCACAAACAGCTGTGTATAAAATAAAAACCAACAACAACAAACAGCCAGAAGTGGTAACAGAGAAGATAAATATTGCTGTGAACATTCAGTGTTTATTCACATTCAATACCCCTGGTGACATAAAACAACTACTGGTGAGCTGGGCTAAATTCTGAATTTTTTTGGATGGTCAGCAATAGCTTCAACACTTTCAAATGATGATGGAGTTAATGGAGTCACTATGGTTCTTCACAGAATAAAGAAAACATTGTTTGAATAGAGATTAAACCCCAGGCAACCATGTTCTGGAAGCAGTCAGCCAGGAATGGATTATTTGCAGAACACGTAGCCATGCTGGGATCACCTGACACCCAGGTGTGCAAACATCCACCTGCGCAAGTCTGTCCTTGGCAAGGTGTGGGAAGGAAAAACCTAAGTATAATCATGCACATTTCTATTTAACTCCATGCTGCTTTCTGAGCAGTGACAGGGCTACAAACCACACAGGCTTCCTGCTCCTTCCACTACTTCATTTCTGAGTACAAAGAAAAGAGGTTTTCCTCCATGGTGGCATAAATAAGGTGAATCAATGGGAATATAAAGCATAAAATCATAGAGTAGTCTGGGTTGGAAGAGACCTTAAAGCCCATCTAGTGCCACCCCCTGCCATGGGCAGGGACACCTTCCACTATCCCAGGCTGCTCCAAACCCCATCCAGCCTGGCCTTGGACACTTCCAGGGATGGGGTGGTCAGAGATTGAGTCCCTGGGAAATCTGTGCCAGGGCCTCCCCACCCTCACAGCAATCTGGGATTACCCCTCCTGAAATCATCCCAGGCTTTCCCTCCTTCCCATCACTTTCCCTGAGAGTGGCAGGGAAAAGTATTCTACCCCAGCAGAGGAAACAAAGGTTCAGACATTGATCAACCATGCTTTGGCACATATTTGTTTGAGACATGGCTGAAACAGTGCTGCAGGAGCAAAGGAATATTCCTAAAAAGGTCCTTGGAAAGTTTTAGAACCAGTGGGATGCATCCAAAGGATGGGATTAAAGCTGGTAACAGCCACATGAAGAGTAGCAACTCATAGGGGAATAATAGCCCAGTGTAGAAATTGTTTTAGCTCAACATTTAGATTTAAAAACTAAATAAATAATCAATGTCACTACAATATTGTGGACTTTTTTTTTTCTTAGAGGCCATGTAGTATCACTAATTTCAAGCAGTTATTTAAAGAGAATGTGCATTACTTAAATCCTTGGATGCTGCTTCCCTGCTTTTTTTTCCTGCTTTTCCTCTGTAGGTAGTGATTTATGCTCCTACCTGATTTGGACTGCTTGCCCTACTCAAAACTTGTTTTTGAGATTTGGTTGCTGATAACATTGATTTTTCTGTTTATCTCAATTCTTACTTCCACCTCATCTCTTTAAAAGATTGGTTCTCTTGGCTTCCTCCTGTTTGTTTTACAATCTTAAACAAGGTTTTAATGCTGTACCTGGCAGGTAATTAAGCATTTAGATACAAAAATTAAGCATTAAGATACAAACAGAAAAAAAAAAACCAAACCCAAAGCAATGTTTTCCTCAGCTCACTTTGCTTGCCTTGGTGAATTCTGTACGTATATGGATGTATACTCCAGTATACATCCCAGCTGGTTTCCACACAGCTCTTATTTCCCAGCAGAGCAGCTTCCCAATGGGAAGCTTGCTTTCATTTCTGGGGTTGCTTTTCTTTATTTCAATTTATTTCCAGAACCACAACACACCCATGAGCTGCATGAGAAGGTCCCGTGCACAGCCAAGGCACGTGTGGCAAAAACACGGGGTCTCTGCACGTCTTGATCACACCTCCAGTGCCACAAGCGTGTCGAGAAAAACAAAGAATATTCCGAATTTAAAGGGACTCACAGGATCCTCCAGTGCAGCTCCTGGCCCAAACAATCCCACCTGGGCATCCCTGGAAGTGTTACCCGAACTCCCGGAGCTCCGACAGCCTCGGGGCCGTGCCCATTCCCTGGGGAGCCTGGGCAGTGCCAGCCCCCTGTGGGCTGAGATCAGCTTTGATCGGCTTTGATCGGCTTTGCCTGATACAGAACTGAAGGAGACCTCAAAGCGCCTCTGTTGCCAGGACGGTGCTGCCTCCCCGCAACCATTTCTAAGACTCGCAAGAACTTTTCTTAGTACGGACTTGCCCAACACCGCCCCTCCACACACACATTCACAGGGCAGAAAGAGAAAAGGACTTTCCCCCATCACCCCCCAGGCCTCGCAGAGCTGCCCCTGCAGCCCGACAGCTCGCGGCCCCACCGCTGGCACCCGCACCCGACACCAGCAGGCTCGGGAGCGCAGCAGAACTCGGTGTAGCTCTGCCGTGCCCCCATTCACCCCGTCCCGCCCTGAAGCGTCACCTTCGCACAGCCCCTGAGCCAAGCTCCCGCTGCCGCCGCCATTTTAGTGCCCGCCCCGTGACGTCAGGACCACCGCCCACGTGACGTCAGAATCTCCGTCCAGGTGACGTCAGAGACAACACCCCCCCCTCCAGCGCTCCCGCCGGCGCACGCGGGTCTCGCGAGACTGCGATGGGCGGGGCCGGGCCGGGCTAGGCCGGGGGGGAGGCACAACAAATATGGCGGCGGCGGGAGGCGGGAGCGGCGCGGGGCGGCGGCGGTGAGTGCTGCCTGTCCTCCCCTTCCCTTTTCTCTTCTCCCCTTCCGTCTGTTTCCCTCTCCCTTTCGCTCCTTTCCTCTCCTTCTGGGGCTTCCATGTGCCGTGACGGAGCCGGGCGGCGGGGGCGCGGGGCAGCGCTTGGGGAGGGCCGCGCTGCCCCGCCGGCAGCGGGGCCGGGTCAGCGGCGCAGCACCGAGGCTGCTCCCGTGATATGAAGCCGGGGGACCCAGACATCAGAGGAAACACAGAAATTACAGAATCACAGAAGTCACAGAATTAGTGAAGTCGCAGGATCACTGTAATCATAGAATCACAGAGTGGGTGAGGTTGGAAGGAATCAATCCGGTCCCACCTCCCTGCTCAGGCAGGGCCGCCTCAGAACATATGGCACAGGTTCTGGGGTATCTCCAGTGAGAGAGAGACTCCTTCTCTGGGCAGTCTGTTCCAGCGCTGTCACCCGCAGTGTAAAGAAGTTCTTCCTCATGTTCAGGTGGAACTTGTGCAACAGTCCCTGCCCGTTGCTCTGGTGCCCTGCCTGTTGCTGGGCCCCGGAGCAGAGCCCGGACCCTGCTCTGCCCCTCCCGGCACCCAGGGCTGAGGGCCCATCTCAGCTGAGGCTCCTCTCGAGGCTGAACAGCTCCCTCAGCCTTTCCTGGGCACCGAGATGCACCAGTCCCTTCAGCATCTTTGCTGCCCTTCACTGGATGTTCTCCAGAAGCTCCGTGTCTCTTGTCCCGAGGAGCCCAGAATGGGACCCGCGGGTTGCTCGGAGGTTTCCCGTGGCCGTGTCGCTTCCCACTCTGCCGTGGGCCGGAGGAGGAGGTGTGGGATCCACCGGGGTTGTTTGGGGCTCATGGCAGATCACGGGTGGCCACCGACGCTGTGCTTCACTCCCCATTCCCACCGTCAAACCTCCTTCAGGAGCACCGGGAAGGGCTTGGATGGAGTTTGGAATCCTTCCTGCTTTAATTTATTTGCTACGGAAAAGATGGAACAGAGAACATCCCCCTTTTTTCCCCTGGATTCCTTAAAAGAAGGTGGGATGCATACAAATGCTCAGTTATATGCATACATGTCCTTATGGATATTTTGTTTTCTTATAATTACTGCAGGATTAGTTCTGACTGTGTGTGTCAAACTGCTGGCTGTACTCTATGAACTGCTTTCTTTAGCAGCATTATTTAGGCAGAAAAATTCATTCTGGCACATTTTTTGACAGCAAACTTAGCTCACCTCAGTGCTGTGACCACTGTTCAGTCCAGCAGTTGTGCCTGGGTAGAAAATGAGTAACCGGTGCTCTGCTCCTGATTGTGTGAAGCTGGAGAAGGTGTGGTTGTGTCAGCAGAGCTCGGGTAACACCCGGTGTGATCAGCCCATCCCTGGTGTGTGAAACACGAGCTGGGCTGCTCAGTTTCTGATAATTGCATTTTCTGGTTTGCAGGAGTGACACAGCAAAGGATCAGATGTGCATTGTTCTCCCCTGAGAAGGAGCACTGCTGGCTGTATAGCTCTAAAAAATACCACATAAAATCACAGAAGTGTTTGAGCACACAAATGGGAGCTCTGGGTCATGTTTAAATTGTGGTGGCATCCCTACACTGGTGTAAAGAAAAGGATGAGTTTTTTCATGATAGATCAATGAGGTAGAGAAAGGAAGTTTTATGCAGTTGATCCCTAACCTGTTTATGAAATTTTATGTAATTTTCTTTCAAAATTAAATGCTTTTTAAAAGCAATCATTGCAATCAAGTAAGTCTGAGAGAATTGGGATTGTTCAGCCTGGAGCAGGGAAGGCTTTGAGGTGACCTAATTGTGGCCTTTCAGTACATGAAAGGACACAAAAGAAGGAGAGGGAGAGAGACTATTTACAAGAGCCTGGAGTGACAGGACAAGAGGAAATTGCTTTAAACTCAGAGAGCAAGGTTAGATGGGACATTGGGAAGGAATTCCTCCCTGTGAGGGTGAGGAGGCCCTGGCAGAGGGTGCCCAGAGCAGCTGTGGCTGCCCCTGGATCCCTGGAAATGTCCAAGCCCAGGCTGGATGGGGCTTGGAGCAGCCTGGGACAGGGGAAAGTGGCCCTGCCCAAGGCAGGGGGTGGCACTGGATGGGATTTAAGGTCCCTTCCAATCCAAACTATTCTGTGATTCTATGAAATAAGTTTTAGTGCCTTACCCAAAGGCACACACAGATTCCCTGATAACACAAACCTTTGATGTTGTTTCAAATGGTTTAATTTCAAATTGTTATTCCTTATTATAATTCATGGAAAGTTAGTGTGGTCAGGACTCTGTGTTACATTGTCCTGTTTTTCTCTTCATATCTTCAATATTAGAGATATCTTTAATATTATAATTCATATCTCGATGTCTTTGTTTTATTGCAGAAGACACCAACAAATGGAACACAAATTAACTTAAGCCTACAGGAGGCTGGAAGAGGGTAGGTAGGTAGATACATAAAGATGTGTTCCAAACTAACTGCATGGTGATAATTAATGCTGGGAGTTGAGCACACTCAGGTAAGCCGTGAAAGAACATCCTCATCTGGATGCCAAAAATGAACAAACATCTGTAAGTAGCTTTGGATATGCAGGAGAAGGTATTTAAATGTGGTCTGTAACTCAGAAATTGAGTTTCTGTAGGTCGCCTAAGTACCTATTAAAAATAAAGAATATTCTTATTGAAATGGTAGCATTGTAGATTATTTCTGATTATAATCTGCAGAAATAATGTGGCAGACTTGTCTCCTGTCAAATGTATCCCAAGCTCTGTCTTCCCAAATTTATAGAGTTTTGTTATTTATACTCCCCAAAACAAGCCTGACCACTGTTTTCTGAGGAATATTTTAATCATTTCAGTGCAAAATAATGGATGGGATTAAGACTTTTACTCAGGATAGGAAAGTAAAATTTTGGGAGAACTCCCCACTGTGAAACAGTCTAAGGCTTCTTTCTAGCTTTGCTAATCACCAACATTCATTTGTTTCCCAACATTGCAGTTCCCATAATTGACTGACCCAAATCTGGGGTTTTTTGGAGCCAGATGTTTATTGGGAAACGGTCAGTGAGTCAGAAGTGCCCTTCATGTGACATCCAGGAAACAGAGGATGCAGTCTTTGAAAAACTTTTACTGGAAGTGTGATTGTTTTAATAGAATTTAGAGCAGCAGAGTGTTAGAGCCCTGTCTTTCAAACACAAATATTTTTCAGGTTCTTTCTTATAACTCATGAGGGTTGGGAAGAGTAATGAACTCGCGTTTCTTTTTTATTCCTTCTAGGGAAAGTGGAGAAGCTGTGCTCTGCTTTATATCTGATGTGTTGGGGTACATTTTGGAGCATGTTTGCTACTTAGCAGGGAACTAAAATTCAGGTATTATCCTTTTTTTTTTTTAAGGCAGGCTGATTTTTATTATTATGTATTTTTCTATTTTAAAATTTTATATACTGTTTTATTATTATGATATTGACCTGTTGCTGAAAACGATTTCCTCATAAATTGTATTCAGTGATCTTTAATGAGTTAAAAAACCAAAAACCAACCTTTGACTCATGCTGTGTGATAAAATTCTTCACTTAGAAAAATCCAAATGAAAACCTGAATTTGTGTTAATTAATGCAGCCAAATTAAATGACACTTGTTTTCTGAAAACATTTTCCCTTCTAGGCACTAGAGGTTTTAAATGAAAGATTCAATATGGGGGAAAAGAAGGCAGAACCGTTGGATTTTGTGAAGGATTTTCAGGAATATCTGACCCAGCAGACTCACCATGTCAATATGATTTCTGGATCAGTTACTGGTGACAAGGAAGTAGAGACTCTCCAGGGAGGTGAGCTGATTCCGATACCGTAAATTTGATTATTTTGAGAGTGACTTCAGTGTTCACAGTCCAGGTAATGCTGCAGCTGTTTGGAAGCATTTCTGCTAGTCTTTTTCAGGTCACAAAGGATGTGTATGTACTTTTGTTTTAATCAGGGTATGTTTTTATAATCCTCTATATTTAAAGACCAAGGGCAGAGAGAAGCAAAAGCTGTTTGGTAATTGCTCACAGTGTGATAGATGGTGTCCCACAGATTGTTCATTAAAATCTGTGTTGCATTGTTCACAGCTGGGACAGAAGGTGATCAGAATGGTCTGGATCATCCTTCTGTCGAAGTTTCACTGGATGAAAACTCAGGAATGTTGGTGGATGGGTTTGAAAGGACTTTTGATGGAAAGTTAAAGTGTCGATACTGCAACTACGCCAGCAAAGGAACAGCACGGCTCATAGAGCACATCAGGATTCACACAGGTATGGGATGTTCTGCTCTGCCTGGCTGGGAGGCCTTGGGCTGTTTACTCAGTGTTGGGATTTGCATGTCAGGAGTTGGCAAGCTCAAGCAGTGTGAGAGTTCTTAACAATAACTGGATATTGGTGGGATTTTATAGCCCGTTTTTGTAAAGGTGTGCCATGTACCTATTTAAATTTAATGGAAATCCCTACTGACATTTATTATTATAAGTAAGTGTATGAGAGTAAAGGTAAGCATGAAGCTTCAATGTAAATTCAAGGGCTCTAAAAATATATTTTAGTTTTTCTGTGCTGGTGAGAAAAGTGACAAATGTACATGTTTTTACACAGAGATTTATAGGGCCTTTTCTTCCTCTGTCATTTAGCCGTGAAAATATTCTTGTTCTGCACAGCATTCTAGATGTGGAAGTAGAAAGCATAGTAATAAGAATAAAGTTGCTGGTAGAACACTCAAATGTGAGGACATACCGTCAAGTAAGTGACTGTTAGCAGTAGTAAACAGAAAAATTATCAGCTGTGGCTTGTTAAGGAACATTTTCCAGTGTTGGATGTATAAACCTGAAAAGCAAAACTCATAAAGGTTAGAATATCCTAAACTGTTCTGACAGTTCCAACTTCATGGCAAATGAGAGAAAACAAAAAAAAAAATAGGTGCTTGTGAAGTCTGTCAAGTGTATCACACCAATACAGAAGACTTCAGGGTGTTAAGCACAGCAGAAAAAAATTGTGTCCTGCAAAGAATGAAAGTTTTTACAGGTTTTTCAGTCTGGACTGTCCCAAAACTTCCAAGTGTCTCTTCCAGTGATTTTGGGTAGGTGGTGTTTTGGGACTCACCTGTTGTAACTGGGATGTAATTGTAGCTCTCCTCAGGTACAGTTAGTCAGATTCTCACCTTGCTGGGAGCCATTCCTTCTACACAGCAGCTCCCTGTCTGGATTTTGGGGAAGGTGGCGCTCCTTGCACTGGCCCTGCAGTGTTGGTTTGTTTCAACAGGGCATAATAGGGTAGGAAATGGCAACCAGCCAGAAATCAGAGTTCTGAGGTTCAGATTCTAAAGACCTGGTAAAATCTTCTCTTGTGTCTTCCATAACAAGAAAAGTTATGGTTTAGTTTTCCTGGTTTCGTTGGTTTTTTCATTCAAGAAAAGAAGATCCAAGGCCTTAGTGTTGTTTTGCTTGGAAGGCTGGCAGAGGGCCAGGTGATGGACTGCTTGTTCTGTGAAGGCTGGGATGAGTCAGCATTGAAATAGGGCAGTGGCAGCTGACTCATAGCCTCAGAGCAGTGTAAATGAACAGGTACAGCATCCTGGACATCTGCCAAAGGAATTGTGACCCAGGCACGAGCATCCAATCATCATCATCATCATCATTATTATTGTTGTTATTATTATTATTATTATTATATGTAGTCTACTGCAGGATTGATTTCATGCTGAGTCTGACAGTAGGTAACACAGCTCACCAGCTGTGTTGTGCTACATGTGATGCAAAACTTTTATCTCTGTGTAATGAGTTTAGAATGAGATCACATTGACAAGTTCTCTGTGAATGCAGGGAGTTTGTCAATCTTCTCATACCGTTTTACCAAGTCTCCAGATCTTTACCCATCCTTGTGTGTATATCTATGAGTACAGGGAGGTGCTCATGGAGAAATCGTGGTTTTACTTGGTGCAAAGAAGGTACTTAGTGGTAGCACAAAAATTGATTTCTTTCCTCTTGGAGAGCCAGTGACGTTGGAGGAATAAAATAAATCTATTTGGTATCCCAGACTGTGATTCCAAACTGTGGAGTGCTCATCAGTCACATGACAGGGATTAGAAACTGAGCTGACACTCTAGATAGGAAGGGTAAGATGATCTTCCATTTCAGCACCTGAGCACACATCAGATCCTTTAGGCACTTCTGACATTGCAGACCTGTGTCTGTAGCTCATGGAAGATCAGTCTTTCAACAGAAAATCAGAAGTCCTGAAATGCTGTGTTGCAAATGTGTTGGCCTGTTATTACGTTACAAAGTTTTCTGAGTATTTTTAAAGAAGTTAATATGAGTATCTATAAATTTCATTTAATAGAAGAGCAAAGTTCTACATGTGCAAAGGAGATGATGGTCTCGCTGATCATCAGCCCGTTCCCCATCTGGAAGAGCACACAGCTCTCCAGGGAATACCTGGCTTTTGTTTTCCTTTAGAACTCTTCAGCCACAAGATCCTTTTTCAAAGCTCAGTTCTTGAGTGGCTGCCTGTGTGCGTGGGTTATTCAGGTGGTAGTTCCAGGATGTTTGGGAGTGGGGATGTTTGGGAGGTCCCAGAAGATCCCCTCCCTCAGTGTTGAAACAGAGTTACCATGAGGAACAGCAACATTTTGGTGGTACAGACATTCCCATGTTCCCCTGTGCACTGCTTGGATGAGGGGGAGGTTGGATCCGGTTCAGGGCACCGCACAAACATCACTGCATTCAGTCCTTGGCATTGTTGCTGCAATTCCCAGGCAGGTTGTGCGTTGTGCCGATTCCACTCAGGATTTTTCCATGTGCTGATGGTCCCTTGGGTGAGGCAGAGCTGTCCCAGTGTTCTCCACTCTCCCAGGATACGCAGCTGAGCTCGAGGCTGGCTGAAGTTTGACGAGCAGCTCACAAAGAGCCCCTCTGTGCTCCACAAGAAGCCTTTTCCAGGCATCCCGAGGTGCTGTGGGCTAATCTGTTCTGATTTTCCAGGGGAGAAACCGCACAGGTGCCACCTGTGTCCCTTTGCCTCGGCCTACGAGCGTCACCTGGAGGCTCACATGCGGTCCCACACCGGGGAGAAGCCCTACAAGTGTGAGCTGTGCTCCTTCCGCTGCAGCGACCGCAGCAACCTGTCCCACCACCGCCGCCGCAAGCACAAGATGGTGCCCATCAAGGGGACGAGGTCTTCCCTGAGCAGCAAGAAGATGTGGGGGGTTCTGCAGAAGAAGACCAGCAATTTGGGGTACAGCAGAAGAGCATTAATTAATCTGAGTCCGCCTTCCATGGTGGTACAGAAACCAGACTACCTTAATGATTTCACCCATGAAATCCCCAATATCCAGACTGAGGCGTACGAGAGCATGACAAAAACGACTCAGAGCGGTGGCTTGCCAAGGGATCCACAGGACCTCATGGTGGATAATCCTTTAAACCAGCTCTCCACGTTAGCAGGACAGTTGTCCAGCTTGCCACCCGAAAACCAAACTCCAGGCTCTCCTGACGTTGTTTCCTGTCAAGACGAAAAGCCTTTCATGATACAGCAGCCTGCTGCACCTGCAGTAGTTTCAGCTGTATCAGCAAATATTCCTCAGAATTCCTCTCCGACCAGCCCTGATTCCCGGCCCACACACAATCAAAGGAACTACAGTCCCGTGGCGGGGCCCAGCAGTGACCGCAGTGCCCACACCAGCACGCCCAGTATCAGCAACAGCCAGCCAAGTACCCCGGCTCCAGCCCTGCCGGTGCAGGACCCTCAGCTGCTGCACCACTGCCCACACTGTGACATGTACTTTGCGGACAATATCCTTTACACCATCCACATGGGATGCCACGGATTTGAAAATCCTTTCCAGTGTAACATTTGTGGGTGTAAGTGTAAAAACAAGTACGACTTTGCTTGCCACTTTGCAAGAGGCCAACATAATCAACATTGACTGAGAACACGCTTTCGTTTAGTTTTTTAACATATTACAGTCTATTTTTCATACTTGCTGATGGAAAGCTTGCACATTCCCATAAGGAATCTTCACGTTAATCGGTTCGACAGAGGAGGCAAATTGATTTCTGTGTTCTTGTAAAACTTGCCAGGGAAGTTTTGTATCTGACTCAGTTGCTGTTTTATATGTAGCCTTTCAAGAAAAGCCAAGAGTGCTATAAGAGTTGGAATGCATTTACATGCTGTGGTTGCTAAATTTAAGTTGCTTGCACTTAATCCCAATAAACATTCTGCAAGTGGAGAAGCAGAGCGTGTGTCCTGATCCATAGGATGTCATTCCCAGATCATTTAGTTGGCAAGACAAGATATATTATCCATAAAATACGAAAGGTCAATGCAATGACACATTGTGTAGAGATAGGACAAGGAGGAATGGCTTCATGGTGACAGAGGGCAAGGTTAGATAGGACATTGGGCAGGAATTGTTCCCTGTGAGGGTGGGCAGGCCCTGGCACAGGTGCCCAGAGAAGCTGGGGCTGCCCCTGGATCCCTGGCAGTGCCCAAGGCCAGGCTGGACATTGGGGCTTGGAAGCACCCTGGGACAGTGGAAGGTATCCCTCCTTTAAGATCCTTTCCAACCCCAACCATTCTGTGACTTTGGAGAAATCCTTAAAAACCTGGCTACTCAAACAAACAGACGCAATTTTCACATACAAATTCATTTTGATGTAAAAGTTGCTTTAATCTGATGAAGGTTAATAATAGGTTTTTGTGTAGTATAGTCTAAACTCTTGATGCTAGGACTTACAATTTAACTATTAGCACAAAACTAGAAGATAACAGGTTATTGTGAATAAAACTAAGGTAGGGAAAAAAAAAGCTAAAAGCCTGTCATTCATGAATTATAGAAACAAAAAAAGTAAGATACCTTATTTTACCTACACTCTACAAAATTTTACATTGTTTTTCAGAGGAGGCAATTTTTAGAGACATAATGTAGAGCCTGTAGAACTAATATATATTCTGTGAGATTTCTAACTGCCTTAAACCGAGCTGTACAGATATTTAAAATTTGCACAATTTGACTTCTGTCCTGCTGATAGAAGTTCTGATAGAAACAAACAAGAAGTTTACAAATTAAAACTCCTTTGTTCAGTTTTATGTTGGGCCAGGCTTCAGCTGCGAGGTTGCCTGTATTTTTGAGAGTTGTATAATCCAGTTTATTGGTACCTCTTGCTTTTTCTGGGCTCCAGGCAGGATGCAAAGGAAAACTGGCTGACTACACTGAAGTTGTGTTTAGGAATTGTAGATGCAAATGGTAACTGAAGTTGTTTATTTTGTTTCATAATGTACACTCATCTTTAGAAGCCCTCAGGCTAAAGGACAGGCACTTTAACATAAACCTGAATAAAACATCTAATTAAAATTAATAATAACTTTATGTGCTAGATAAGAATTTGAGACATTAAAAATAAAGGAAGAACTGTTACTTTTCCCATATTTAGACATGCACTTTTACCTTGGTTTGTCCTACTTAAGACAAATTAAAGCTTCCCTTATATATTCTCCTTTTCCTATTAACATACCATGTTTTCTTAAAAGCAAGGATATTTGATTAATGTTCCACAAGTCAGAGGTTGGACTCTGAATAGCAAATGTTTGGTTTATTCAAATTTATATTGTTATGGGAACTAAAACTTCCTGAAACCAATGGAAAAACGGTGGTCAAGATGAGCTCAATGGAGGAAAGCCACCTGTGTAAGAATTTTAGCTGTAGAAGTAATTTTGACTTTAATTAAACAGAAATTTGATTACCAGACATGTTTCTGTCTACCTGACTGACCTACTGTTGAATTTCTGTGCTTGAGAGACAGGGTTCTTGGCTGTGCAGACTTATAGTAATGAGGTTGAAAATCTGCCAATGAAGTGGTTCCAGTGTAGTGAAGATGAACAATAACACTGCCACTCTTAAAATTTGTTTAGTTTTCAGGCCTGGTTCAGAATTCATTTTGCTGGATTTGTAAGACAGAATGTTTCCATTTTACATTGTGACACTCTATAATTCCAAAATATTTCATTGTTGCTTTATACGTTTTAGATTTATAAGTAAAACTGCAAGTCTGTGTGTGTAAACATCCTTTATTTTAAGGAGTAGAAGCTGATTGAACTGGAATCCAGTTAGAAGTTACTGCTCCTGGACAGGTTTTGGAATCAAATTTTTTTCCAGTCAGAGGGCAGAAGCTGCAGCTCTCTTTGGATTGCACATTGAACAATTCTACAATTTAAATTTGGCTCAAATATAATGTTAGAATAAGAGACATTCCTCTTGAAGACTTTACGATTAGAAATGTATGGAAGTGGTTTTCCTTGCCTTTTTGATAGATGATGCCATCTCCTATGATGACTCCTGAACCACCATGGCCTTGAGCAAAACTAAGGATAGGTTACTAATGGAGGAGTTGGGAGCAGGAGGAAGCCTGTGAGATCTCATGGAAAAGGGACCCTTGTTCAGGAGGGGATCCTGATGTGGGGAAATGTATGTTCTTAATAACAGAACTCAGTATGAAAAAATCTATCCCCAAGCCTTGCAAATTGTTGTTTGGAAGGATTTTCCTGCTGCTGCCTGGATACCATTGGTTCTGCTCATGAGGAAGTAAGGGAAAGATTAATTGGGATATCTGTGAACGGTTGAGGAATGAAAAACCTCTTTTCCCTGTTTCCTTGGGCAAACTCCTCAGTGCAGAGGTTGTTCTTGGGCAGCAGCAGCTTTGGTGCTCATCCCTTGGCTCTGCAGCAGATCCCTGGGGTGGATCCCTGTGTCCTTCCCAGGACTAGGATTGTTCCCTGATCACACCCTGTGCTCAGTAGTGCCAAACAATGCCCTGACATCATTGTCCCCTTCTATCAACTGAGGAGCTTTGGAAGGTGTATTTTCCTATTTTTCATGATTTATACATACTATTGACTATAATTGAAAGACCAGAGTTGGTACTGGCAAATTCTTTCCAAGTACGATCCCAGAGTCAGTGAGAGAGACTTGTCCAGGATTCTGGGATTGAGCCCTTAGTTAAAAGAACTTTTCATATTGAGTACTCCATGTGCTACACTGCAATTACTTGGTTTGTTTTTCTTTGTTTTTGTTTGTTTGGTTTGGTTTTTTTTAACCCAAATCCTTATATTCTAAGGTAATAGGTGATTAGCATTTTAACTGTTATTAATGGAAGTTTGGGAAGGAGATGGAATTTTTCCATAGCTCGGTTCTGTTAAGTTCTGTAGTTGCAAAACATGAACTTTGTGGGTTTTTTTTTTTTTATTGTCATAGCTTATTTTATAGTTTTGTGGACATTTCTAACATGCACTATTTATAGGACTCAATACACATTTACTGTTTTGAGACTGAATATTCCAATGGATATTTGAATATTTGAACATCTTCATTATCTCAGTTAATACTTAAACTGTGAGGGAGGCAATAGAAAAAATAGTTGTTTTTTCACAGACACATTTTTAGATGAAGAGGATTTAGATATAAAATGTTGATTGGCATTTTAATATAAAACTCAGTGCTGGGAGACACTTTCCAGCAGTGTTTTCCAACTAAATAATCTGTTACTGTTTGTTTTGTTCCAGAATGTTTTGGGGGTTTATTTTTGTTTCTTTTTGACAAAGGGAATGTAATTTAGAAGTCTTCACTGGCAAGTTTTCTACTAATTTTAAGCATCTTTGAAAATCTAGAGCAAATGGATGTTCTGCTGCAGGAAATCTCTCTCCTGCTAAAGCATTTTTCATTGAGCAATCTTCGTGTATGTTCTTCTAAGTACCTACTTTGTTAATAATATCTATTTCACTGTAAAGAGCAGACTTTATGCAAAAATGAAACCTGTTAAGAGTTGTAAAATAAATTTTAATGTTAGTGAACGTTTTTGAGATGACAAGGTTAATTCTGAAATAACTCCATCTCGTGTAGTTCATGTTGTGAAGCTTTGCTTTTGTAAGATATGAATAAAATAACACTTTCTAATTAGGTCTCATGTCAATTCTTAATTGCATGTCCTTCCATAGGTGGAGCTGGTGATTTCCCAAGTGCTTGTCCTGGGTTAACTCTCTGATTCTGTGAAATTTAAATCTCAGGATGGTTTGCTCTTGGCTTTATCTCCACAGCCCAAAACAGCTTGGTTAGACTTGATTAAACTGTTTCTCTCCATATCCTGGGGAGAAGAGGCATAGGAGCTCCAGAGGAGGGAGATGTACCTCAGATCTCTCAGCAGCAGTGCTTAGAGTACTGCATTTGAAATACTTTGGACTCCTAAACACCCAATATTCTCTATGTCATTATTTTAAAATATATTTATTTACTAGACTGGTTGCCTCATGTTGGAATGAAGAAATAACACTTGTATCAGGGTCAGAATGTTGGGTTTTCAAACTCTTTCCTTGCCTCAAGTCTTCCAAAAATCCTGCTTTCAGTTTGTTGAGTTCCTCTGCCAAGCTCTTCATCTCACTTGGGAGAATGTTTTTACCTAAAAGAAAATTGAAGCTGAACTTTTGACTTCATGCTTACAGAAAAAATCACAGAACCACAGAATATCCTGAGTTGGAAGGGACCCACAAGGATCCAGTCCAGCTCCTGGCCCTGCCCAGACACCCCAACAATCCCACCTGGGCATCCCTGGGAGTGTTATCCAAACTCCTGGAGCTCTGGCAGCCTCGGGGCCGTGCCCATTCTCTGGGGAGCCTGGGCAGTGCCAGCCCCCTCTGGGGAGAACCTTTCCTGAAATCCAACCTAAACCCCCTGACACAGCTCCAGCTGTCCCCTCCTGTCCCTGGTCACAGAGAGAAGCCTGAACACAGGCACAGAGCTGAGCTCTACAGTTAAGCACACTGAGTTCCTCCTCATATAAATCATAGGAGCAGTGCAGACTGCAAAACCCCTGTCCTTACTGACGTGTCCCAAAACAGTATTAAAATCCCCTAAAATGCTGCTCTGTACTAAATGGGTTTATTAAACCTGTACTTAATACAGTTAATAAATATACTGGTTTTTAAATCTACAAACTTCTACAAATAACACTGATCAGAGTTGTGAAGGTGTTGCTGGGAGAGGATTCCTGAACAGTTTACCCCGAGGGAATTTCAGGGACTGTTTCCCACTGCCAGTTAGCACCTAGGATAGGTAGGAGAGGTACCTTTGGCATCCTGCATTGCCTGAGAGATGATTCTCCTGCACGCCTGGTCAGCCTGATGGACAGCACTGGCTGCACAGATGGCTCGAGCTGCCTCCTGGCCAGGGCCACCAGGAAGGAAGAAAACAAGCAAACACTTTGAATTTATTTGACTTTTGAAGTGCTATTTTAAAACAACCCATTAGCAGCACCTCAGTCAGCACCCAAAGCTATGCCCTGAAGCCCATACCTTTTGCTCTGTGTCCTCCTCGTTTGGCCTCTCTGGATTTTCCAAAGCAGTGGTCAGCAAGTTCATGATCTGCTCACTAAGAAAACAAACAAAGAGTAAACCATGGCAATCAAACAGATACACTTTTTTCTTTTCTAATGATGCCACAGAAAACAAAACAAGTTTTCAGTTAAATTTTTTAGGCTGTCAGCGAAATAATCTGCAATGAAAAACAGTTACAACTCAAATGATTTCCAGCCTTAGCATTTCAGACAATTTACACAGATTTTCAGTGACAGGATAGGAATGCTGTGAGTTTTAACTTTGCAGAGGATGGTGGCTGTGAGCCCCCTGGATTCTGTGTAACTGCCTGGCTTCCAAAAATCACCACTGGAATATTTTTTACAGATTGTGTAGATACAATAAGAAGCTTCTACCACTGAAAATAGCACTTAGGGAAAACTCTAGGATCAATCCAGTAACGTACTTGTCCTCTGAGATGCAATCAGAACTACTCAGAATGAGGCTGTGCTGCTCCCAAGTGTTTTTCCTGAGATCTGGCATTTCTGTTTTCCTTGCCATTAATTGTATTGTCTGCTCAGGCACAGGATCACTTCTGAGGCGATTCCTCTGCAGGCAGCATTCCAGAGGACACTCTAAAAATAACTGGCAGAAGCCCAGGGAATCTAAAAAGAACAGAACCAGACAGTTTTATCTTTAAACAGTTCAAGTAACAATTTCTGAGAGCAACATGCAGGAGACAGGCTCTGCATGAATGAGGAGCTTCTGCACTGGTTCTGAGCCTGACATGAAAACAAATCTAGACAGGGAACATAATTTTATCTTCAGACAAGTAATGTCTGAGATCAGCACAGAGAATCATGGAATGGTTTGGGTTGGAAGGGACCTTAAAGCCCATCTCATTCCACCCTCTGCCATGGGCAGGGACACCTTCCCCTGTCCCAGGCTGCTCCAAGCCCTGTCCAACCTGGCCTCGGACACTTCCAGTGAGCCAGGGGCTGCCCACCCTTACAGCCAGGAATTCCTTCCCAATATCCCATCCAGCCCTGCCCTCTGGCACTGGGAAGACATTTCCCTTGCCCTGTCATTCCATGCCCTTGTCCAAAGTCCCTCTCCAGCTCTCTGAGAGCCTCCTTACGAACTGGAAGGTGCTTCAAGGCTGCTCCAGGAAGGGGTCTACAGGACCCACCAATTTACAATAGGACAGTAACAAAGTTACATTGATTGCTACTCTATTACAGGTATCCAGCAATCAGAATAACCAACGTTCCAAGAGAGCACTTGAAAGACGGCAGCTGAAGTGCACTGAATTTCCTACAAACACCCTCATGCCGAAGATCAAGGAATAATTACATTTGCGGGCCAGCTGGTACACCTCGTAGCGCATGCTCTGGTAATAGAAGTTGTCATCCAGCAGGAGGAGAAGCGGCCGGGAGGCGGCTCCGGCGTCACCCTCCGCGGCGGGCAGCAGCCCCTCCCGGCGGCAGCAGCCCAGGAAGCGCTCCCAGCCCGGCTGCGCGGGGCCGGGCAGCGGCGCCCCGGTGAGCAGCGCCCGCAGGAATCCCTCCAGGCACTGCAGCAGCTCGCGGCGGCTCTGCTTCCAACCGGGCAGCTGTGGCGAGAGAAAGGCGAGCGATCACGGCCCCGCATCGCCGCTGCTGAGCGCTCCCGCCCTCCCCGGGCCCCGCCGTGAGGGGACCCGGCCCGGCCGCGTCCCGTTGCCCGGCAACTGCGGTCGCACGCAGTGACGTAAAAGGCGCGCCCGACCGGCCAATGAGCGCAGCCGCACTGACCAATGGGGACGGCTCTGGCGGGCCCGCCCCCGGCGCGCGCGGCCGGAAGGCCTCCGGCGGGATGAGCTCGTCGTATTCAAACAGAGCGCAGGCCCAGCCCCGGCGCTGCGGCAGCCGGCGGCTCAGGGCGCGGGCCAGGGTGGACTTGCCGGCGGCGGGCAGCCCGCACAGCAGGCACAGCCCCACCCGGGCGCCGCCGCCGCTGATCCCCCTCTGGTGCTGCTGCTGCTCCGCCGCCAGCGCTGCCGCTCCCGCCGCTTCCGCCGGCGCTGTGCGCATGCGCCGGGCTCGCCCCCTGGCGGGCTCGGCGCAGCGACAGAGGCAGGAGCGGGCCCTTGTACCCGGGTCTGGTTTGAGGCATTTTTTACTCAGTTCTGGTTTGAGGCATTTTTTACCCAATTCTGGTGTCTCAGTCAGCTCGAGAATTCTCTTTAGTGACCCCCGGAGCGTCAAAGGCTGAGCCATCCCCGCGTGCCCAGCGACGCCTCTTGTAGTGATCACAAAACAAAGATGCAACCAAGCGTGCTGCCCCTGAGGATTTATTTGAAATTGCAATGTAATAAATAAAATCAATGCCATATTATACTCGAGGACTAAATGATAACGATATTTAAAAACAAAAGTTTGAGATCCTGAGGGATTAAGGAAGAAGATGCTTCTTTGGAAGACTTTTTGCCAGCAATCTCTTTTGGGTTCTTTTGTCCAGCTCCTCCGTGACGTGGCCATCTGACAGGTTGTAAATACTTTCTCAATGAGGCAATCCTCCAATTTATTATTCACTGTTTTCCCAGTCTGTTCTCCCAAATCTGCCTGAATGCAGCCTGTGTGTCCCCATGGACGGGTGGATCCATATCCACAGCTCTGTTCCTGGCAGAGTTGGTCTCTGCACTGCAGCTGCTTCTCCGTCCTGCTGGAGACTTTTCCCTGGATTTCCTGGATCCATCTCCTACATCGAGGCATTTGATGGAGGCCTATTTGGACAAACTATGTCACTCCATACATCTTTTAAAGCAGTGCTGGTTTCTAACTGTCCCATTTAGAATGACAAAAGTTTATCTGTTGCTTTTGTAGTAGAATCAATTTCTAGGAAAAATGCCAAGCTGCAAAACCCAGTAAACACTGAACCACTGTGGAGCTGCAGAGGTATTTCCCAAAAGCCCGTATTTTCTGTAACAACAGGGTTCTTTCAGACTCAGGGACATGACCTACAGAGTTGCTGGTGTCCCCAGTTGAGGTTACTTCTATAAACTACCTGAAATGGAAGCTGACACGGCCAGTGCGGTGTGAGAGGTGGGCTCTGGGGCACAGCTTTGGTAGGGCTGATGGCAGGCAGGTGTCAGAGCAGGGCCCAGGGACTGTCCCCAGACCTGGCTCTGCAGGCCCTCAGAGCTCCTGGCAGCATCCTGAGGAGAGGACAGCCCAGGAGGAAAAGTGCAGATCTCCCATCTTTGAATTGTCTGTGGATAACTGAATTCACTTCTCTGTGGCCTGAGCACGAGGCAGCAGCATGGACAAGTCCTGTTCTCTGACACTCACAGGTTCAAACCTGTGCAAGTTGAACTTCAGGTTCTGATTTATAAAACAAAAAATGAGGTAGAGGAGGCACAAACACAGCCAGCAGCAAGGAGAAAAACATTGGGGTATCACCAAATCTGTGTTCAGCGCCTCTTGGCACCCAGTCCTTCCAGGAGGGACATGCTTTCCAAAGGTATTTTGGCTGCACAAGGACAGCACTGGAGCATTGAAATCCTTTAATTTGTTTTTCAGGCCAGTTACTTGTGAGAATTGATTGAGGGTTCCCAAGAAACATTTCAGACAACTGGTCTAGGTGGGACTGGGGGTCGTTGAGGTCCTGAGGAAGCTGCAGGAAGCTGGGTTTGGACTGGCTGCCTGAAGGGTGGAGAACACATTATGTTTAATGTTTCATGGCTTGAGACACCTGACATTCCTAAACCGGTTCTTTACCATTTCTAAACAGTTTCCAGCATTTACACCTAACTTCCTCTCCCTTGCTTAATTTACCTGTGTTTATGCCAACATTTTTCCTTCAAGCCTTTAATCTATTACAGCTCATGATGCTGCATGAAAAATCCCCTTAAGCAGGACACAAGACATCAATAACTTCACTTACAGCAACATAAACGTGGGAAAGATGAAGTGAAGAAGGTTTTAAATACTACAAACCTTGTACCAGGAAAATGCAATATGGTAAAAATATTGCGACTCGATGCAGCAGGCTGGAAAAAACATTGCAGAAATTCAGGTTAGCAGAAAACACAAAGTGTAGATAATTATTCAGTATTAAACTAACATCATTTTAGAACTAGTTCTCATTTGCTGGGACTTTCTTCATATTCTCTTGCAACATTTTGTTTTGATATTTTTTATTCAGTTTTATCAGAACTAGACCCACAGCCTGGCTAAGCAGCATCTCCAGTGTTTGGCCTAAGAAATAATACAGGTGGTTTCAATGTATCAAAAAGTCACAAAATCATGATGGACTGACTGTGTTGGAGGAAAAGCACTGTGCAGTTTGGATTACCCAACATGAAATAATCTAAGTCTGCATCCATTTTACCTGATTATTTCCCGTTTCATGACTTGCTCTGTTGCCTTGCTTTGGTTCCTGCCCACTGTTACTCCTGAAACAGAAAGCACATCATCAGGAAATCCTTCAGGGATGTAGCATTTTCCAAGGACAAAGCTACAACTCAGAGGTCTCGATTCTGCTTTGAGTCCATCCTGTTCTGGACTTGAGAAGCAATTTCAATATGCTTTGCCCCTGCATCCATAAAATATAATTATCAATAAAAATTAGGAAAGTGTGATGGATGGGGGAAAAAATGCTTGAGAACAGACAACTGGAGTGTCTGGATTGCACTTCCAAGGAGCAGGGGATGGAGCTGTTAAACTCCCCAGCCCTGCTTTTAGCAGGGCAGTATGATATTTTAGGAGGTGTGGAATTTTTTGTGTAGATAAAGCATCCACGTGCCTCGCTGCACTGACGTGGAGCACACTCTCATGTTGGAATGGCACCTGTAAGAAGGGAAATACCTGTGCTGTCCTCTGCTTTTCCTGCAAAGTTTTCTCCTTATTGCATCACGTTTAAACACTGCTACTGCAGTGAGGATGGCTACAGGCAGCACAAGGAAGAAGAAAATCAGGAGCCCATCCCGGAGTGATGTATCTAGGGAAAAAGAATTGGAATAATGGAATTTAAAACATTAAAGATTTTTTTTTTGTTTTAAAAAATACAGCCTTCAAATTGTTGTAGAATCAAATTAATAACTTCACTGAAATTTATGACATGTTACAATCACAAAAGTAGGATTTGGCCTTATGGTATTACAAGTTCTCTCTGCCTTACTCACCCTATGTATATACAACATTTTTCCTTTTCCATAATTTTTTTCAATAATTCTAAAGCAGACAAACTCATTTTGTATTTGCTTACCACAACTGCTCTGCATGTTTGCTTCCCCTTCCTAAACTTTTAATAAATACAAAACATGTTTTCCCCTTCCCAAAGTACAAATTTAGTAAAATTCAATAGAGTTCCACAGAAAGTAACACAGATTTTCCTCAGAAAGCTATGGGTTATGAACTTAGACAAATCTTAGACAATCTCTTAGACATAAAGATTTTGTGTGTAAAGGCCAGGAAAAGCTACTTCAATATCACATAATAATAATTGTTCAAGTTAGTCCGTGATTTGTGTCTCATGCAATAGAAAAACAGTTAAAAGAAGCTGTTCTTAGTATTTTCTCAGTCCCTGGGGCAGACTGAGGGCCAGTTTCAGTGTCCTACCTGTGTGAGCTGGACCACTGTCAACACTGCCACCGTAGCCAGACTGGTTACAGAATGGAGGGGCCCATCCTGGATTGCAGTGGCAATTCCCGTTGTTGTTACACACCTACAGCCCAAACAAGAGGGAGTCATGAGTCAGGCAGGGACAGTTCCCATTGTTGTCACACCCCCACAGCCCAAACACAGGGATTAGTCAGACAACGCCTCCCTGAGAGTGGCCATGCAAACCTTTGGTGTGGATTTGGGGTTCCAGGCATGGAATTGCATGTGGAAACAAGAAATACTGTATAGTAATGCATAGAAATACATGAAATATTAACTGGGAATAAGCTTTGCCCCTCCATAAAATCCCAAAGCACTGAGGGATTCTGGTGCTCCGTGGTAATTCTCTCTACGTTAACATTTGTGTTATTTGCCTGCAATAAATCCCAGTCCAGAAACCTTCTTAGTTTTACAACCTTTGGACTCTGTTTTGATTTTTCAGAGAGACATACATAAATTAGGAATTACCAGACTGTCATCCTCAAAGGAATATTTTCCTTTTACAATTCACCAGCTCAGTAATATTAAAAAAATTCCTTTGGGAAATTCAGACAAAATACCTCTCAGTGTTAGTGCTAAGGGGTTTGTAGTGTTCTGGCAACAGGTAAAATAAGTGGATTTAACTTTTAATACAGATCAGGAAAAAGCAAAGCCACCTGCTTGGTTACTGCTTAAATCCAGGGAATTTGCACTGTCTAGAAACAGAGCACAAAGCACCATCTACTCACCCCATTATTATTACACTTCTGCTTTACATCACAGCTGTAGCCCAGATATCTTGCATCGACACATTCAAAACCTACACAGGCCTGGAACAAGTGATTAGTGTCTTGAAAACACAAAACTTTAAAAATCCCATCCTTTTATAAATATAAATGTAAATACAATAAGTGTAAATATAATATAAGTGTATATGTTTAAAAGTCTGCAGCTTTCACTTACATGTTACAAAAAAGGACTGATAAAACATTCAGAATGCCAGAATTTTTAACTTTATTTGTCTCAGGTTTGCTTAACTCTGTGGATGCACTTTGATGGAGTAATTTGGATGACTGAAAATGTAGCACCCCAGCTTTTGAAGAGCTAATTAATTGTTTGTATGTATTGAATTCCAAAGATTTTTATTGTGTTATGGAATATGAACAAAAGAGACAGGTAATGTTTTTGGAAGTTCAGAACTTTCCACCTGGAATATATTCTGCCATGCTGCTGTGATTCCTCTTACCTTGTTCTCTCCACAGGCTGTCCCATCATGAACTTGAGCAGGATCAGGGATATCTGATCCTAAGTCAAAGTCAGAGGACCAGCATAAAACCCCGGACGCGTTATTGACAACGCTCCAGGCTGGAAGGTTTTGAAGGCTGACAGATGTGCACTGGAGCTTCCCACACAGACTGTGCCTGTATGGGATGAAGGACACTCAGAGACAAGGTGAACAGCATCAGTGCAAATCCATTCCAGCTTTTAAGCTTGCATTTAAAAAAAATATTCTTTTAAATCTCTCACTTTAAGGCTTTGTAAAATATATATTTTTTTACATTGAAGATTTTAGGGTTAGCTTTGATTTGGTGGTGACTTACTGGACAGGGCATTTCTTGTACACTCCACCTTTCATTCCACAGTTTCCAAACCTATCGCCTTTAATATTTGCTTTTTCAAAGCATATATCAGGTGCTTTTCGTGCCCCTGTACAAAAAAATAAAAAAATACTGAATCTCAGTAAGGTGGCTGAAAAATACCAGGAAGAAAAATTGGAAATGTCTATCAGGAGCCTACAAATTAAATGTTAACCATACCTTTCCCATAGATAGATTCACACTGTGAATCAAAGCTCTGGCACACCCCATAGTAGCAATAAGCCTTGCTGTTGCTGCATGGGTGACCATTCATGATGTAAACATCATCTGGGCAGTAGGCAGTGCTTCCATTGCAGTACTCAGGGAGATCACAGACATCTTGTTTTGCTCTGCACTCTGCTCCTGCCACTCTGAACTAGCACCAGAGAGGGAGAACACTTTTAATATTGCAACAGAGAAAGGGCTAGAGTGAAACAAAGACAGCTGGGAACGTTTAGTGATTTTAAGGAAGACAAATTCTCTTCTTACATACTCTCTTACCGGTGAATGTCATTGGAAAATATGTCAAGAGGAGCAGGATGGCTCTTTTCAGACATTAAAAAATCTCAGTGAATAGTAACAATTTAGTTTAATAAAGCACTGCCTACCTTGCAGTTTTTGCAGCACAGTCCTTGGGCACATTGTGAGCCAGGTGTGAGTTTGCAGGTTGCAGCATCACAGCAGGGGTTGGAACATTCCTGAGAACATTGAAAGGGGACACCTTTATTTATTTATGTATTTATTTATTTCTATATAAAAATTATATATATAAAATATATAAATATATATATATATAAATATATATTATTGTGGTAGTTTGGCACCACACAACCTCCACAATTATATATATTTTATATATTTATACATATTAATATATTTCTATATTAATAATAATATATAATATATACTATATAATATATACTATATAATATATACTATATAATATATAATATGATTTATATAATATATAATATCATTTATATAGATTATATTATATTATATATTTAATATATTATTATTTAATCTTTATAACTATTTATTTTTATTTATTCCTAGCCAGGAAAGTCTTCATCAGTCCACGTGGATGAACAAGCCAAACTTTAAATAACTATATGTGTCAGATTCTCACATTCTCCTGCTTTAAAAAGAACCAGCAGACCCTGTTGCTGTGTTTTATTTGTACAAGTCAGCAGAAAACACCTGTTTTGATGTGTTGTGGCACAGGGATGCCAACAGAACCAGGATTTGCTGGCAGCATTTTGATTTGCTGATACTTTTTTTGAGACACTTTTACCTTCTGAAGAATGAGAATTACCTTCTGTCCATCCTGTTATTGGAGGGACATTTTGACAGTGCAAATGTGACTCTTAAAAGTCATTTTGTATAGGCAAAGTTTAAGGGTTACAGTTAACAAACCTGTACAGTCTCTGTCATGGAACAGAAATATCCACAATGCTAAAACCAGCACAAAACCCAGTGGTGTTCCCACACACTCTGCTCTGAATTTCACTTCTTTCTCAGCAGTGCCTCAATGTTCTGTGAAGTCCAATAGCCCTTAACTGAGTCCACATCAAAATCAAAGCATGATTTTAAACTTCTACTAAAATTTATTTTGATAATCCTTGCAAAAATGCAAAATTACAAGGCAAACTCCTCAGACAGTAATGTAATTAGGCCATTATATCATTAGAATAATGATAAAATATAATAATGATAAAATATAATAATGATATAATATTCAACAAGTATCCAGCTCAATTTCATGCATTACCTGTGGTTTGCCACAGTCACATTCTTCATTGTTATCGACCACATTATTACCACAGACAGGTTCTTTGTACACATTACTCGTTTTGGGAGGATTTCTAAGGCAGTTTCCTCCTCCATTCAGAATAAAGGCCTCAAAATCATCAGCGCTACAGGTGCTAAAATTCCTGGATCCACTGGAAAGGATAATACTTTATTATTATAAATATTTTGCTTAGAGGAAAACATACAACTCCAACTCTTAAAATATTGTTGTTCCATAATAAATATTGTATGTCATAATGCTAGGAGAGCATGAAACAGTTAATTTTTATTTTACTTTGCATTAAAGTGAAGTACTAGAAGTTTAAAATACTATAGTAGTAATATATTATTAATTAAATAATTCCTATTATAATTGGAATGCTTTTAGAAGCCACAGACCATCAGATTATCTATTCTGGTGTCCTGTATGAAATGGACATTAGAAATTCTATACTGAGTCCCAAAATGTTTGATTAAAAAATATTCTCAGGAAAACATTCATCTTAACTTGGAGTCCCTAAGAACTGAGGAATGCACCTTCCCTTCCTAGAGTGGTTTTGTCCAGTGTACAGTTACCCTGATTTATTAATACAGCTGGGGATAAATAAAATATTATGATCTTTTTCTCTTAAGGGGAAGGCAAAGAACAAATGAGCTGAAGGAAATATAAACCAATAAGTTGGGGTTTTTTTTTTAATTATCTGTTAAACAATTTGTTGCATATTTGCACAAACCCAAATGTAAAGCATTCTCAAGAGGGTGAAAAAAACTCAGCAACACACTATTATTAAAAAAAATAATTAAGTCCAAATAGGACTTATTAGGGATGTTACAAATAAAGAAAGATTGGGTCAGAAAGCAGATAAAATTTCATATAAATTAAAATTATGTCAAATCCTAAGTCAGTGAATCCACCTCTGCGATTACATTTTTCAAACAACTCCCCATCCACTAAAGTTCTTCTAGATTCACAGGAGTTTCACAGCTTGCAAGGCATAGTGACTGCAAACAAAAGAAATTATTAAAGTAAATTAACTGGAAATCGTACTTATCTGTGCTGTGCATGATATAGGATGCAGGACACCTCTTATCATCATGTTTCATCCCAAGATTGTGCCCCAGTTCATGTGCAACTACTGTGGCGTGACGTAACATTTTGTTATGATTCAGCTAATAAAGAGAATCAAGTTCAAAAAAGTGAAACTAATGAAAATACTGATTCACTCTCACCACAAAGCTCTCAGGACTGGGAAGGCAGAATACCAAATTGTATTGTAAGGTGAAAGCAGCAAGGACTGACAATTTATTACTTTATTTTCAGGTAGGGCCAGATTCTGCCACTCCTTCCCTGTGGATCATATTCTAGATAATAAATTGGCAGCTGCTCTGGATCACCCCTGCACGTTTTATTCTGTGTGATTCTATTCTACTCTAACACTGTTAGACACTGATTTCAAAGGAGTCTTCAAAAACAAATGTACTGTGAAAGAACAGAATCTGCTTCTGAGATTGTCCACAATGTTGTGGCATCCATACTTTAAGGACAGGAACCTCTGGAATTACTGGTTCTGTCCCAAAGGTGGAGAAAAAGATAGTTTTGTACTAATTATTTAAAATTTTTTGCCTGTTTACAGCCCTATTGTGAGGAATTCTAGACACTCGAGACTACAGTGCATTATGTTCACTTTCTATTTATTTAAAGAGTAAAAAAACCCACCATTATTTTGTAGCTGCATTCCCATCCCAAAGCCTCTGTGGTTATGAACTTTAATGGTATAAGGATTAGATTATGCAATACTGAGTTTGATGAATCAAAAAAAATTACCAAAAGAATTTGCTGAAGATTAAATGAGCCAAGTGGGCTGGAATTTGACAAAGAAATTGGGAAGTACTTAAAAAAAAAAAAAGGTGTAAAATATACCCAAGTCCTTACAAAAGAAACCCCATGAATGAAATCGGCCAACTCCAAGACCAGGGTGATTTGACCAAGTAGGTGAAGGACCAATTTCTTCCACACCCAAATTTTGATGTACTTACAGTGCTGATTGACCCTCCCTGGACATGTGAGCACACAGTACCCACAAAAGCCATTCCAATGGATCCACTGAAAGAGTTTCTCCCTCTGCAACAAAACCAGTTTGGAGGTGGTGGTAAAGATGGGTTGGAAGTTCATGATTTCTACTAAAAGACACTGACAAGTTGGAAAGAAATATTGCAAGGCAAAATTTGGTCTTCCTGAAGTCAAGAAGGAATTTATCACCACAGCAGGGTTTCATTCTAATTAATAATGAATATCTGAATAAGAGCTTGAAAATAATGATCAGTCACCTAAATCTGCTGTGTCAGTGCACTCAATTACAGAATGGCTAAGGTGGGAAGGGACCTCTGGAGGTCACCTTGTCCCTGGAGTTGATGAACTCTTAAGAATCCATTACAGTTTCTTGTCTTTTTTCCAGGTTAAACCATTTTGGAAGTGCAGAGAATTTTACTCTAGGTATATCTTAATTAATATACAAGCCCCAAATCATATACATTAACACTGGCAGCGTGGGTGGTTTTCCCACTGAATGCAAACTTACATTATGAGGTGACCAACGTCATTTCTTGAGCGCTTCAGAAGATCTTTCTGTCTCCAAGAAACAAACCTACTCAGCACATCTCCAGCTGAACCATCCATTACAGATATGTGGTTGGCATCTGTCCAAATCTCTAATCCAACCAAAACAATCTGGATGTTTAATGCTCTATACATCTGAAAAAAAAATTATAATTAATGTCCCTCAACTGTTCTGATGGAATTCTGAAAGATGACTTCATTACTATTGAGTAAACAATAAGCTGAACATAGTGATCGAGTCATAATTGCAGTTTCTTTGAAACTCAATACATGATATTTGTAATTATAAATGAAATATAAAGTATTTATAAATTGTAAACTGAAGAAAAAATATTTAGAATATAAAATGAAGTATAACTGAAAACAATCTACTTTGTGAAAGTACCTAAGCATATATTTTGGAAAGAAAGCTGCTCTTCTGAACACTATGATAAAATAGAAACTACGGAATCCAGGCAATTTATCTGACCTACCCCATCAACATAATTAATCAGCTCCACTGTTTCCTTTTGCACTGCAGCAGGATCAGAATTCTTCATCAAAAACTGTAAAATACCATAACAATGTCAGAGGATAAAAATTAGCAAAACAATAAAATGTATTTAGTATTGGATGATATAATTACCCTGTTGTGATCCACAACCACAAATAATTCTACATAACTTTTCTGGGGCAGGACAGCTCGCTTCTCCTGCAAATGAGAAAGCACAGGAAGTTAAGATAACGAGTTTGCAATGTTGCATTTTGTAATGTGGCCTCAATTTGTGTTAGATTACCACAGAAACCTCTCTGTGCCAGTAATTCACACCAGGTCAGACACTGGGATGCACGAGCTGAAAGGCAGCTTGTGCATTTCATGTCCTACCCACGGCTGTCCTGGGCAGCCTCTGCTCGTCCACTACAGGGTTGCTTCAAGCTATGTGAGATCCCCATTGTGCTGATCTTCTGTTCCAGGATTTCCTCAGCAGGGCTCCCACCAGCTCGGTGTCCAGAAAATGAAGGCCACAAGGAAATGTCCTGCCAGGTCAATCCCAGCTGCAGTGATGCTGTGCCAGAGCAGGAGCCCTGCAGATGCCTTGGACTGCAGCTCAAGGGAGAAACAGAAATGTATTTACCCTGAGGAGCCTGTCCCTGCTGGAGGTGCTGTTTGATGAAAATGTGTATTTCACAGACTGCTTCTCATGCTCCAGGCTGCCATTCAGCACCCCACAGTGGAAGGGGATACCCTGCACATCTTCCAGTTCGTAAAGCACATGTTCAAATGTGCTGGATGTGTTGAGGGGCTCCATTCCGTACCATCTGCCTCCAATGTAGAGAATTCCCCTAACAATCATAATAGAATGAAACATTATTTCATCATTTTTCCCTCGTGGTTATGACTAGATGAATGAATAACAGCTGGATGCTTAGACACTATGTTGAAATAAATTATTATTTTAAATTATATTAATAGGGGGGTAAGTTCAAGTGCCCAATAAAAGACAAACCAGAATTTATTTAAAATACTCAACAAGTGTGGATTTATTGAATTTAGACAAGAAAGTAAAAACAGAAAGTGAAGCCAAATTGTTAGTAAATGAGTCTGGATTGTGGGAACAGAGCTGATGCAAAGGGTCCCTTTCAGCCTTTATCTCTATTCATTTAAAGGACTGCCAGGATATGTCCTGATGTACTGTTAGTGACATCTCTCTGTGAAACTTCACCTGAAAGGTACATGAATGAATTTTATCCCATTTGTGATTTTATTGTATTTGAAACACAAAATATCAGTTCCAATTTGAACAAAATTATTTTCATGGAAATGGTTTGTCTTTTGAAATGTGTCCATTCATAAGACAAAGTTGTTTGCAGGAGTGTTTTAAGTTCAACAAAAGCTTCATCAAGGTAAGATTTTTTTCTACAAAAGTGTCTCTGGTCACGACATTCACATCAAGTACAAGAAGCCCAGGTTCTGCCTGTATTTATTAGTTTCTCTCATATTTTTCTCATATCTTTTTTTTCTGTGAAAGAATTTTGGAAAGGGGGAAATAAGCAGGAGTTGAGGGAAACTATAACACCTATAATGAGTTTCAGCTTCATCAAAAGGTGAAATATAAAAAAAAAATAGGAAGAGGAAATACCTAAGGCCATCACATGTGCTAAGAGCAAGTGTGGAGTCAGCAATTCCTTCAACAGTGCCATGATAATAACAGTGTGTCTGAAATGCAACAAACCCACATGATTAGTGACACAACAAGGTGGTTGCCTTCAACTGCAAACTTATTTTCTAACTAACCATATTATTTGCATGACATCAGGGCTGGCTGTTAGAAATTTACAGAGATCCCTGCTTGGAAAGTAATCCTGATCTTCTTGGAGGAGAATATCCCTTGATATGAGTACAGCCAGCTTTTTAGTTTAACCCATCACCATCTTTTATAAAAGTATTTTAATCTACATTGCTCATCCTGTTCTTAGAGTCCACTCAAAGGCTGCTCTGAGATCTTTCAATTAAGTCTCACTGAGCTCACGTGCAGTTTAGAGCTGAAATTAAATTTAGAAGTATTTCTAAGGCTTGTTTGATACCAGATTTAAAACTATACAGCTTTGATGCTACCATTGCACCTTAAACTGCACATTATGCAAAGGTGGCTCAAATTCAAGCTTGGCATAATCTCCTGGCAAATCCTTTCCCACCTTGGGGAACAGGGGTGCTGCATCCCACAAACAGCCCACTCCCTCATGCACCTCATGTTTAGATCACTGGTAACTGTTAAACAGAAATGCTCCACTGAGAAAACTCACAAAAATCTTATTCCCAGCAAATACATTTTTTCTTGGCTTCTCTGGTTTTTCAGAGAAAATTCTGACACAAAGACTAAGTTTATTTATTATGCACAATACCTCATTTTTGGATAGTGTTGCCTGCAGTTTCCCATTTTCCCCATATGTGTACAGCTTAAAGTCATCACTGAGAAGCTTTCTGGAAACAAAAATAAACTACTGCTCACTTAATGGTCTAGAAACAAGAAACAAGTCAAGAGTCCTGGTAAGTGCTACATTCTGTTAGCAGCACACTCAATGCTAAATTATTATTAAAATCCAAGCACATGAAACAAAATATTTTAAAATGAGCTGGAAAATATTTGGAAAATATTTTAGAAAATACTTTTAACTTATTTGGAAAATAAGTTATTTTGAAACTTATTGTTATTTGTTTTAACTAAAATATTCATAGAGAGGAATCTAAGCAGACTCAGTTGCATAAAGACCTGGCCTATTACAGGCTCAGGAATGAGGAACAAGAGAAACAGAAAAATTTCTTCAAATTCAACACAGCTAAAACTCCTCTGCCCTGCTTATAAACTAATGTTGGACTGAATTCTAATTTTCCACAAGGATTTTCTGAAATGTTCTATCTTGCACTGCTAATAAAAAAAATAATCAAAATAAATTTCTTCACAGCTAGAAAAACTATTCCCTTCTATTTGCAAGGTATTACCATAACAGAGATGCTATATTTAACATTATTTAATAGAGTTGTTTTGTAGTTGCTACAATCTGCCATTTAAATGGTTTCTTCTGAATTTTTTTCAGTATAAAAATGCTTGTCTGTATGCAACTAACCCCCTGAAACAAGACAACTCCTTAGAACACTCTATCACATACTTATTTTTCTTCAGCTTTAGGAGGTATGTTCCATTTCTGGTTTTAACTGAGTAAGAAAGATTGTCATCTGAATGCTCCTGAAAACAGAACAAAAGATGTCACTTAATTAGGTGATTTTTCTATTCGCTTTTGTTAATTCCATGTTTTGCTTGACATGAGAGGCCCAACTACTGTGTATGTTTTAAGTAAAAAAACAGAGATTCCTAACCCTCTTCCTTTCATATTTCAAACTCTCAGCAGCAAACTGAACATGCTTTCCTAGGTAAAGTTTAAATTCAATGAATCTATATTTTCATTTAAACAGGAGGGCACAGCCCATGAGTGCACTCTTTGCTAAGTACCACATCATATTTGTGACACTCCTTGTGTAAATCAGACGAATGACTCCCAGTCTTTTATCCCCTAATTGGTTTGCACAAAGATGACTAATGCTGTTTCATTAACAGTTACTTCAGTAAATTAACTCTTTATCTGGCACAAAGGTAAGTTACCTCAGAACTGAAGAATTAAGGCTCAGCTTTCTCTTTTACCTGATCTTTTAACCTGTGCCACTCTGTGGGACCATTTTTATCCTTTGGGTGCTACATGGCTGAAATCCTCTGGTTATTATCCAAAGACCAGAACACGGACAGCATGGATGTTAGCTCAAGCTCAACATCTAATCCAACTCAGAAGAAATGAAAGCATTCTGTTTTACAAGGTCATTAACAGGATTAGAAGTTTGGAAGGCACTCAGAGTACAATCACAGAGTTTTTGGGAAAAAAATTTACTTAAAACTATTTGAAAACACTAAGAATCAGAAGAGAGAGTGTGAGGCACATTTCATTACTAAAATCTATATATACCATCCAGTGTATGTGTGTGTAATGTAGGATAGTGTTTGAAAAATAGCAACAATCAGAAGAAAAGAAAATTAGATAGAACAACAAACCTCATGAGAAAATGGGGGATGTTTCTCTCTGCCTGTCAGACTTCGAGGAATGATTATTTCTAATGTAGAAAGTCCGGACTTGTGTTCAGAGGATACAGCTGAAAATAAAGTTTGAAATTGGTAAAGAATCAGAAAGGATAGGGCATTATGTTGGCCCCTCCACAGTGGTTATAGACAAAAGCCTCCTCTGATCCAGCCAGAAACGGAGAAATACTTCAGGAATGATTAAACAGACTTTAAAACAAGTTACTTCATATTAAAGCTGGGGTCTTCTAGAGCACACAAATTAAAACTACCAAAGCATTGAAATAAAATCTTAATTCTCTCATATTCTGGATTATTAACTTTGTGACTTTGTCACTTTTTCTTCCATGACTGACACTTTTAACCCGATGTACCACAGAAAACTGGTGCAACTGGCCTTCTCCTTTCTCCATTGTCCTGAATAAGGAATACTTTTAGTTGTCCTCTGGATGCAATTTGTCCTCCTCCTATGTGGAAGAAAATGTGGCTCACCAGGCTGCCTCCTGCCATTGCCTAATCTTGCATTTTGTTTGTTCTAGCAAGTCAGATCTTTGCAAAAGGTTTGTAGCCTTTTACATGATATCAGAATTATCTCCAGAACAACATGCTAATGCAGGAAGCTAAAGATAAGAAGCCTGCCAAGTATCTGGTTTCAGGTAAATGGTTTTAGAAAGACAAAAACAATCTCTAGTGACTTCTTAAAAAATTGTGTGAAGTTGAATTAATCTACCTTTTTCTCATCTGCTCATCATCTGCTTTGATCAACAAAGACACAACCGTTGCTTTTAAACAGAATCAACAATAACATGAGTTTTAACAATGGAAGTGGTTCCTTCCTTATTAAATTGTTCTTTCATAAAGAAACAAAGAGATTTCTTCACATTTGTAGTAGCAGAAAGTCACCCTCAGCCTCCCACATTCCTGTGAAATTAATTTATAATTGCAAAAAAGTCACACAGCCAGCCATTCAAAGTGAGGAGGGTTCTCCAGTGTAATGATGATCTCTACCTGTTAGATAGCATCAGGATTTTTAAAAGCTAGGTGCAGGTAGGTTTAACAGTACAGGCTGCAATTGCAATCAAAATATGGAAGCTGATATTAGCAAACCAGTCTGAAAAGAATATCAGCGCTTGATATTGTGATTTTGCTCTTAATCTTCAATAATTTTATCTAAATCACAAAATCCATTCTCTTCCATGAGTCAAGTGTATGTTGAACTAACCATGGAGATGCTCTTTTAACAATTCAAACTTTGACACCTGAAAGCAGGAAACCATCTTTTATGCATGTCATAAAAATACCACTTTCTAAGAAACATTTCAGGTGTTAAATCTAAAATGTGAAGCCAAATCATAAATTGAGATGAGTTAATGAAAAATTACAATGAAATCGTAGGAATTTCCCTCACATTAATGAAGAAGAAATGTTTTTCAACAGTCTCTACTATTGATGAGAGTGACAGCAACTGCAGTTGTCACAACCAGTGTCCTGCACAGAAAATATGTATTTATATACCTACAACATCCAGGTGGGAAAAAAACACACAAAGAACTCAACTATGAAAAGTTTCAAGCTGTAATCTTCCCCAAGATTCTCTCAATGAGCAGGGCTGCACAGGGAGAGCTGTGCATCATTACAATCAGGGTCCAAGCAGACTTGGAGAAACTTTCTAAATATGTAAAAAAAGAAAGCTTACCTTTTATCCAGAAAGGGTTTCCAGTAAATATTAGTCCAAAAGTGAAGAAAAATAGGCTGTGCATTAACATGACTTCCCAGAGAAACTACTCCAGCATCCGAGCTGGCTCTGGCTGCTCTGCAGGGAACCAGAAGAACGAGAACCGTCTGCTCCAAAGGTAAACAACAGAAAAAGCTCTCCAATACTGCATCTCTGCTGAGGAAATGGGAAGTAAAATTTAATCCACTAGGCTTGCGAGAAAACTGGTCAGACAGCCTAATGCAAATAAAAAGCAGCACATTCTTAAATGCTGATTGGAGAAAGAGCGTGTCCCGTGTTGGGGTCAAACTGGTTTGTTCTAAAGGACTTTCATCCCACAGTGAGATCATATGAGATTAGAAATATAAAATATTGCTACTGAAAAATACAGTGTTTAGGATGTTTATCCTGGCTACTGCCAGCTCAATAAAAAACTAGCGTGAATCAATTAATTCTTAGAAATTTCAGCTTCTTGTCTTCCATTTTTTCATCTTTATTTTAAAATATAATGCATATGAACACATGAAAATCCCCAAAACACCGGTTCTACCCAGTCCCTTCTATGTTAAACACAATTATCCTCACCAAAAGTCCATAATTTTGTGCAGATCATTGTTCTTCCAGGATGAGAGTAATCTTCCACACAACCACGTTGTCACCAAAAGCAGAAAATAAACGCTGCTAAAACTGGATGAGTTTGCAATGCATTTCAGAAGTATCAAGCGTATTTAGAAACACAAAAATGAGACTGAAACAACACACTCAAACATTTACATTAATTAATTTTAATTAATTCCTTGATTAAAGGAGTGAAAATTCAGTTTTCCTTTGCTGGTAAGTCTAATAAAACAATGCCTTAAGTGACAGAAAGCAGAATGCTGGCTGTATTTGCAGTATTATTTGTCAAAGCCCGTTCAGGTCCATTTCCCGAGAGTCACAGACGGAAAACACCCTGAACATTCCTGTACTGAGCACTGGGTGGAAGCAGAACTTGATACCCTCATTCCCGGGTGTGTGTCTGCCACAGCCTCAGGAGCAGCATTCCCCAACTCCTGAAGGTGAGATCCTACTGAAAATTAAATGAACCCCATCTTTTATTTATGGCCTCTTTTATTCATAGCCTCTCTCCTGTGCCATGCACTATCAGGACACAACTCGGGAGAACCCCGCTGCTCCAGGTTTTGACATAATAGCAAGTTTCACAGAATCCAAGAATCATTTCAGTTGGAAAAGCCCTTTGAGATGTTGAGTCCAACAGGGGAGGCTGTTCAGTGCTGGATCCCCACACTGTGGGGGAAGAACCTTCTCCTAAGCTCTACCCTAGACCCTGGCACAGCTTCTGGGCCAGTCTCTTCTCCCAAGCAAGCAGTGACAGGACAAGAGGACATCCTCCTAAGCTGCACCACACGTTTAGGGTGAATATTACGAGGAAATTCTTATCGGAAGTGATTAAATATTGGAATGGGCTGCCCAGGGAGGTGGGGGGGGTGGTCAGAGGTGTTTAAGAAACGACTGGACGTAGCGCTCGGTGCCAAGGTACGGTTTGCACGGCGCTGTTGGGTCATGTATTGGACTACTATTGTAATCTCAAAGGTGTTTTCCACACTTAACTCCGGGTCTCTGCGCCCTCCGCCACCTCCGGCTCTGGGAGTCGCTCCCCGGGCTCTGGGAGTCGCTCCCCTGGCTCTGGGAGTCGCTCCCCTGGCTCTGGGTGTCTCTCCCCGGGCTCTGGGTGTCTCTCCCCGGGCTCTGGGTGTCTCTCCCCGGGCTCTGGGAGTCGCTCCCCGGGCTCTGGGAGTCGCTCCCCGGGCTCTGCGAGTCTCTCCCCGGGCTCCGGGAGTCGCTCCCCGGGCTCTGGGTACCACTCCCCCGGCTCTGGGAGTCTCTCCCCGGGCTCTGGGTGTCTCTCCCCGGGCTCCGGGAGTCGCTCCCCGGGCTCTGGGAGTCGCTCCCCGGGCTCTGCGAGTCTCTCCCCGGGCTCCGGGAGTCGCTCCCCGGGCTCCGGGAGTCGCTCCCCGGGCTCCGGGAGTCGCTCCCCGGCCTCTGGGTAGCTCTCCCCAGGCCGTGGGCACCTCTGCCGCCCCCGGCTCTCCCTCGGGCGGTTCCTGCCGCTGCCCAGGGCGCACGCGCGGGGCCCTCGCGCAGGCGCGTCCCGGCCGCGGCGGCCGCTGAGGGTCGGGCGGTGCCGCTCCCCCGGCCGGGTATCCCCGCCGGGCGCTCCCCGCGGCTCCGCCATGTCCAGCGGCTGCGCGGCGGCGGAGGAGGAGGAGGAGGAAGGAGGCCGAGAGCCGCGCTGTGTGTCGGCGCGGTGCTCCTGGCCCTGCGCGCCGCCGGGCGGCCTGGCCCGGGCGCTGTGCCTGCGGCGGGGTGCGGGGGACAGCGAGCCCGGGTGAGGGCGGCGGGCGGCGAGAGGGAACGCCGGGCTGGGCCGGGCGGGAGCGGGGCTGGAAGGACAACACGTGTCGCTTCCCCCCCGCAGCAGCGAGGCCGTGGTGGCGGAGCGGCGGGCGGGCGGCGAGGAGCCCTGCGAGCTGCGGCTGCAGTGCCGGCCCGGCGCCGAGATGGTGTCCGTGGGGATCGTGAGCCAGGCCCGGAACATGGAGGTGTACGTGGGTGAGGAGTACTGCGGCACCGGCCGGGGACAGAGCCGCGGCGCCCGCCCGGCCCTGGGGTGAGTGGTGGGTACGGGCGGGGTTGGGTCCCGCACACGCTCGGGCAGCCTTGTGCTCTGTGTGTGCCTCTGAGGTGTTCCTGTGGTTAGAGACCTGAGGTCTGTAACAAGGCTGAGGGAATTGAGGTTGTTCAGCCTGGTGTAGAGGAGGCGCCTGGGGAGACCCTGGAGCCATTTCCATTGCCTGAAAGGGTTTCGAGAGAGCTGGAGAGGGACTTTGGACAAGGGCTGGGGAGAGATAGGACTGGGGGGAATGGCTTCTCGCTGACAGAGGGCAGGGTTAGGTGGGATTAGGAAGAAATTCCTCCCTGTGAGGGTGGGAAGGCTCTGGCACAGGTTCCCAGAGAAACTGTGGCTGCCCTTGGATCCCTGGAAGTGTCCAAGGCCAAGTTGGACAGGGTTTGGAGCAGCCCGGGGCAGTGGAAGGTGTCCCAGCCCATGGCAGGGGGTGGGTGACTTTTAAGGTTCCTTCCAACCCAACGCATGCTTGGGTTCTATGGAAGATCTGATGTCTCTTTGATAAGTAGTCATCTCACACTTCAAAGCACAAGAGAGAAGATTTTAAAAAGATGGTTTTATTTTCACTTTTAATACTTCCTTCCATGCTTTGCCGGGGGAAATAAAGCAATATTTCTGTTTTGTTTTGAAGTCATTACATGGCACATCTGCTGCTTAATTAGCTAAACAGAAACCAGTCGACTCAGAGCCTCAGGGAGGATGTGTGAATAATGTACTGAACCTCAAAAACTTCTCTGATGCACAGTGCATGCACACATACAAGTAATTTTTTACATAAATATTTGATAAGATTCATTACAAGTTGCATATAAGCATTAAAACTGCTCTTAGAAAATAAAATCTGCTAAAAACAAGAAACTGAAACTGCTGTTGGAAACCATAAATCTGCATTAGAAATGTGTTCCAGTCAGTCTTGTTTCTTATCTAAATATGTACCAGTATAGTGTATTTCTACAACAGAAAATAAGTTGTTTGTATATTTATGTCACAGCTTATTTATTTTATTTTTCTAGTGAAACTGATGAGGCTACTTTATACCACAAGTACCTTAAGTTTGAATGCCCTGCAGCCTCCTGTAGAATTAAGGTAAGGAGTTGAACAGCATTGCTTTATTGTTCTTTTACATTTTTAATAATTTAATTGACTAAATTGCATTGCTCTTAGTAAAATTATTGGTTTTATACACTTCATCTGTTCACATAATCACGTAAAAATCTGTTGGCTGGTAGTTTTTCTTGGCAGAGTGCTCCTTTTAAAATGGTATCTCTGTTTTCTTTCCATGAAGACTTTATATAATATAGATAATTTAGTCTTACAGAAAAGAAACATAAACCAGATAAACTGCAGATCTGTGATTAGAACTGTCAGCTCCGGGGTTAAATAAACCTGTGAAAATTGTGTGGCCACAACTCTTAAATGCTTAGAAAATCTTTATTTATCTTTGGGGCACTCAGGTACTGTTCCAGTCAGAATTTTATGGGAAATAATAACAAGGAGAAATTTGCTTAATTTCCCTGGAAAAAGAGTTCATCATGGTTTTTCCCAAGACTCAAAGAACAATGCATTGTCCCCTATGTACAAAGAAAACACAAATTGTTTCTTTCCCTAACTAAAGTATTTTTTTTCCTTCTTGCGATAGCTGCTCTCCTTTGGTGAGAAACACAGAGTACTCATCAGTAAAATAATTCTAGAAGTGAAAGCAGTGTCTGCAAAACTAGCAACTGATTTTCCTTCACTAGGATCAAGCATAGATCTAGACAGAGTGCAAAGTATAATGGAATCCATGGGATCTAAGTTGTCTCCAGGTGCTCAGCAGCTCATGGACATGGTCCGGTGTCAGCAGAAAGTAAGTCACTTTTCCACAAACACAAACTGGCACTTTACCAGTTAAGAATGTTCTAAAAAGATGTTTGGGGTTTTTTAATCTGCACTTTCTGCCATTTTCATCCTGATTTACCTGTTGCCACTTGAATGAGTGCAGATTGTGTACTCCAGGATTATTATTATTATTATATGCATTGTTATAATTTTAAGCTTCACTGCCATCCTGTTCTCCTTTTGCCTGTTTCCACTGTCAGTGCTAGACAAGGAGGATGGGCATTTTCTCTAGAATGTTTGGGGTGTAGATAGATGGGCTGGTTTGTCTCTTTAATGGTCATTATAACCATGTCACCTTCAACTAAAAGGAATGTGCTCTCAGAGAAAATTTACTTTAGATCCTAATCCTGCAAGGTGGGCTGTATCATCAGACTCCTGAAACCATCTGATGTTAATCATTCAGTTTTGGAGACACAGCATGGTAAAAATGAAGTCAGTAAAGTTATTTTCTTACTTAGACACTGACAAGATAATTAACACTTCAT